GTGCACTGTGGCCATAATTTATTTTTTCAAATCATCTTGTTAAATAAAGAATCTTTAGGACAGGGTTTTAAAGTTTTGTGAGCTTCCCTTTACTACACAAGAGCTAACTTTAAAATTATATGCACTGTTAATCGTAAAATGTTTGCTGTAGATAATATAATTATAGCCTTGGAAGTGCCTTTAATTGAAATGAATTTTAAGATATGTATGTATACTACACAGTGAAATGTAATTTCATTTTTAAATAGGATGTTAAAATCCTAATGTGTATTGTAAACATCATTTTCATATTCAGATTCATAAAACAAACTGGAAATTAGCAAAGCCGTTATTTGGATTTTAAACAGCATAGAGCATTAAGTGCCAGTATATAGAATGCCTTTGAAAGTGTCATTTAGAATGAACCTTTATTTAGAAAGATCTTGGCAGAAAGATTTAATTTCAACTTTACTAAGTCATTGTCACAGAATGAAATGTTTCTTTTTCTGTTATGCTAATTGTTCATTTTTATATTGGGAAAAATTCAGTAGATACTGTGAAGATTCAAATTTTGGTTTTTCCCTCTGGAAGGGAACATCTGCTATCTAAGGAAAAGGAAGTATTCATTGTGTGTGTCACTGACTTTTGATAAATTTAACTTTTGATACATTTTTTGATGTCTTATTCGAAAAATTCAGATCACCTAGTCAGATATGAGGTCTAAATAGTCCACAAAGGATAAACAAACTTGAGTCCAAAGGACCAGAGTGGAAGACACAAGATTTCTCAAATACTACTGCTAACTTTGAGCAGGGAAGAGAGAGCCTTTTTCCTATCTATTTTTGTCAGAAACATTGAGAGAAAAGAGACAAAAGTGAAAAAGGATTATGGAAATAGGGACACAGAAGTGCACTTCACATTTGTTTGGGGATATTTTGTTCCAGCCCCCTAATTAAACGATTGTAATATGCACATATTCATTGCAATAGCATTAATACCCCAGCCTTTCCAGTAGTGACTTAAACCTTAGCCTAAGACATATTCAAGTTAAAGCTTTGGGTACAAGATCTCCAATATAGGATCCTGATTTTGAGGTTTTTTCCTACACTTTTTCCCTGTCTCCCCATTCCCTGTTTAAGGGGTCGTATTCTTAAAAAGTAGCCAGATCGTTTACAGTTTCTTAAACTGCCAACTCATTTGGGATCTTTAAAAATTTGACTAAGTAAAATAACTAACTAGTCAGTATATTTCACTTTGAAAAAGTGACTACTGCCCAGGAACAATAAATTTTTCTATTTTTTTAAAGGTTTTCTAAGACTGTCGTACCTGTATATTTGATGAGTAGCTGTTTCTATTTGATGAATAATTTGCGTTTTTACAAAATTGTTTGAGTGGTTATTCCTGCTTGGACTAAAGAGGTAGAGATGTTTTTATAACTTGTCTTAAGAATTTTGTCTTGTTTATAAAGTCAAGGTTTTGCTAGCCTTTTGGATATAAAAATAAGGATTACTTTTGGTTTATATTGGAACCTTTTCTTATATAAACATTTGTAATGGCTTATTGATTGAAAATCAGTTCTTATTCCCTTAAAGTGCTATAGATTTCCTTCCCATTCGTTTCAAACTGTTTCCTTCCTTTTTTTGAAGCTGCTTCATTGTTAATATACTATATAGACTGTTACGAATTCAAACATTGGATTTAACTCATTTTCTACAGTTGTCTCCCCTTACCCATACAATTCATCTCTTCTAACTTTAAAAAAATTTTTTACAAGTTTTAAAATTAGGTACTACTAATACTGATTTATAAAGATAGAAAAATCTTTATAAGCTTATTTTTATATCATTTTCTAGTGAAAATCTGCATTGGTTGTCATTGGTCTCTTACAATGATTATTGTTCCATATTGTACACAAAATTAACAACTGCTGAAATTTTAAATCCTGGCAATTAGAGTGGGTGAAACAAAGCTGCACTTAGCTACTGCTAACAAGAAATGATGTGATTGCAACTACAGTATATATACTGTACCAAAGAAATCTGTAATAATGTAGAATTCCATATTAACATTCTGATAAACCTCCTTATTTTTGCAATAATTGTGCCAATGTACTTTCAGCAATATTACTTCAACATGTACAGTGCCTGGCCATTTATTCTCAGATGGAAATTTATATTAAAACCAAAAATGTTTCTAACCTTCTATTTAAGTAAAAGATGACTTGTCTTAATTAATAGGTGAAAACTATTCCACAGATCTTTTAGTTACAGTAATTGCTTATAGCAGTAAACTTGGGTTTTGTAAAAATTGATAGTAAGTGAAATCTGAAACCTTTGTGCCTAACAATGACTGTTACTTGAGTTAAATAGGATTTGGCAGGAATATTAGAAATTTGGTCAGTAAGAGGTGGTGAATGTGAAGGAGATCTTGATTGTTGAATAAAGTTTATCTTTCCTCAGTGAGTGACTTTTGTATTCATCATCAATATAGTCATCCCTTTGTCACATGTGTAGTTGAGTGGTTCAAAGACCTTGTCAGCTTGGCTGCCTTACATAAACAATCTGAGATGTTTTACTATATTTATATTTACAGCATTAACTCTTTTCTATACCTCAAGCTTGTATGTGCCTATGTGTGTCATGGCCAAGTAAAAATCTGGTTCTTTACTTAACATTTTTGAATAACTGATTGATGCAAGGGGTTAATATAAATGAGGCACCCCAAGGCCAGAGAAGTTTAATTACCAAGGTCACATAGCTAATTTTAGTAGCAGAGCTGGAACTACCACAGTTTTGTGGGATTTAGTTTAGTTGTGGGTAGACCAGTCCTCCCAGGACTGCTGCCTTCTGAGGTCCAGGATCACCCCCATTCCATGAGGAGGCATCCAAATAAGGGATCATTGCCTATTTTTGTTTAGGCTTAGAAATGGTCACTAAGCTGGAATCAGGTTTCTCCTGACTAAATGCACCATGTTAATTATTCATTAATTGTTCTTTCATTTGCATGTCAAAGAAACAGCTCTTGGAGGCCACTAGTAATAGATCATAAGTATGTTTGAATTTTGTGACATTCTGGGAAAAAGCCACATTCTGTTTCCACAAGGAAATACTTTTGATCAGCACTGTTGATTGTGCTTATTGCACATTGAACTTGTGCTTATTGCACATTGAACTGATGGAGGGTATGTTTGTTTTTTAAATGAATATTTGCATCTGAAATGGAAATGCAGAAAACTTCCTATTTAAAGAATTTCAACTACTTGCTATTTAGTTTTCCAATCAGGTTTGTAGCTACACAGCTTAAAGGCACTAAACATTTGTGTAGTATAATCTCTAATAAAGTATTTTCTGATGAATTGTACTAGTGGGAATAAAGCATTAGATTATATTTGCCATGCATAGGGAGTGTCTCGTGTGTGTGTGTGTGTGTGTTTGTGTGTGTGTGTATGGATAATTCTTGGGCTTGCTACTTGTGTTGACATAACCCATAGTATGGCTGATACAGGGATATTGTGCTAAGTGCTAGGGATATTAAGGCAAAGATACAGTTTCTGCCCTCAAGGAGCTTACATTCTAATGGGGAAGAAATATATAAATAAGTGGGTATATGTACAACTAGGTCAGAGTTGGAGTTCCTGGAAGAGTGTGAGGTATAAATTAGGAAGGATCCATTATTAAAAGTTTTAGATGCCAAACCAGAGTTTATATTTGCTCTTGGAGATAATGGGGACCTCATGCTCATTAAGCAGGAGGGGTGACGTGTTCAGATGTACACTTTTGTAAAATCACCTTGGCAACTGGAGGTTTTACCGGAGTATGAGGGAGACCAATTACCTATTGCAAATCAAAACCAGGCTGAGCTGGTGACAGAAAATGGAGTATTAGTTGGGAGAGATGATAATTGACCTAACTGATCACCAAATGAAATGGTACAGAGCACAGAAGAGAGCCCAGAATAGAACCTTGGAAGACAACTATTGTTGGTGGGCTTTACCTATTGGAAAATCCAGCAAAGGAGACTAAGGAGCCACCAGACCGGCAGGAAAAGCACCAGGAGAGAAATGTCATGCAAACCTAGTGAGGAAAGAGCGCAACAGTGTCAAGGATCAAGACAGAAAAATCCAATTGATTTGGCAATTAAGACATCATGGGTAACTCTGGAGAGAGCAGCTGTAATTGAAAGATGAGGTCATAAATCAAATTACAACAGGTTTATTTGAGTAAGAAAAATGGCACCACTAAAGGCAGACAGCTTGCTCAAGGAATTTAGTTACAAAGAGGAGGAAAGAGAATAACTAGCTGGGATAGTAAAATCAAGAGGATTTTTCAAGGAAGGACGTGCTTGTAAATAGCAGGCAAGGAGCCAATAGATAATGGAGACAGAAGATAGAGTGGGGATGATTAATGAAGGCAACCTGCTGAAGAAGTTTGGAAAGGATCCGATCAAGAGTGCATGTAGAAGGGTTCACTTTGCAAAGGAGAAGGACCAGAGTGAAAGAGATGACAGTAGAGGAAGATGTCTGAGTGAAGTGAGATGAAGACGAGGAGAAAAGGAGCATTTTCAACGCAAACAGCCTCAAGATGCAGTATTACAGTCTTGCTCCAGGTAGCAAGTGTTCTAATAGTATCAAATCAAGCAACTGTGATTCAAAAATGTGATGTGGACACATCTAAAAGAGTAGTCAGCGTAACATTCTGTGAGGCAGATGCTGCTATTTCCATTTTGGAGATAAGAAAACTAAAGGTTGGAGGGCTTAGATGAAAATACAATAGCTAAAGTGCTTATTACTGACCTTAGCCCACTGCCACATTCTCTGTATCTGTGTGCAAGTCTGACAATGGATTGGGAAAAAAAAAAGAGAAAAAAGGAGAAACTGCCTTGGACAAATACCAATTTAAGTGTCTGATTAATATATGTGTACCTTCATATTATGCTAAAATGAGTCCTTAAACCTGGTAACAGAAACAGTCAAAATTAAGCATGTAAAGTGTAGCAGTAATTTTTATTTTGGAAAGGGGAAAAAAAAAAACCCAGCAGCAAGTGACAAAACATAACCCAAATTCTGTAATCTCTAGCTGAGGCATTTGCTCTTAGCTCCAACTGCAACCACGTGGCAGACTTCTACTTGGGCTCCCAATTTTTGCAGTTCATCCAACCAAATCATCTGCTTGTGGGAAAGGCGATCATTGGGCCCTTTAACTTCTACCAACTAGAATAAAAAAAGTTAAAATGTGATTAATGCTTTAAATGAATAGCTGTCAAAATTTATAACATCAAGGCAGGTTTTTTGTTTGTTTTTACCAACTGCAAGTACTTATTTTTTTAAATTAACCATTCAAAAGGCATCTTTCCTTTGCTACATAAGTTCATAAAAGGTAAGATGACCAAGAAAATACTTCACAAGAAAAGGAGGAGGAGGGGAAGGAGGGGAACCTCATAGCAGCGATTTATTTCCAAACATAAATTAACAAGTTTGCAACAATAATTGTTGAAGAAATTCAAGTTAGTATCTTAGGATAGAAGTGCTAAGTGATCCCATTATTAGACATATGTCCTAAAGAGATCAAAAAAAGAAGGAAATTCAGACCCATATGCACAAAAATATTTGTACAAAAACTGTGTGTTACAGCAAAACAACAACAGCAAATGGAAACAGAGCGGGCATTAATCTACTGGGGAATGAATGGCTGAATAAAATATGTGCTATCAATGTGATGGAATATTAAGAAATAATGAAAGGAAAATCTGGGAAGACTTGTATGAATTAATGCAGAGTGAAATGAACAGTCAGGAGAACATTTTATACAATGCTTACAATACTATAAACAACTATGAAACATTTAAATACTATGATCAACGCAATGATTAACTGTGGCTCCGAAAGTTAGATGATAAATCATGTTGCCCTCCTCTTGGCAGAAAAATGAAGGGCTAGAGAGGCAGAATAAGAATGTAAATTCATTTTGCTTGATCACACCTATTTGTTACAATGAAGGCCTTTTTTTTGGGGGGGGGAATTTACATGAGGATTGCAGAAATAATGATAGTGATGTCATGACTTTGATAGTAATATTACTATCACTATCATTACAACAAGAGTATTATAATTTGATGCCAGGATAAAAAAAAATACACCAGAGGAAAAGGCAGTTGAGAAGGGAATACATGGGGCAGCTAGGTGGCACAGTAGATAGAGCACTGGCCCTGAAGTCAGGAGGACCTGAGTTCAAATCCAGCCTCAGACCAAATACTTGACACTTAACTAGCTGTGTAACCCTGGGCAAGTCACTTAACCCCAATTGCCTAAACAAAAAAAAAAAAAAAAAAAAGGATACAGACAAGCACAGTGATGACTATACCCTTCTTATTGATTTGAAAAAAAATTACATTTGCTAATGTCCCTCAGCTCTCCAAGCACAAAGTTACAATCAGAAATGATATATGGAAGTATATGGATTTGTGCGTTAGAAAAGCAGAAATATTAAAAAACAAAAGCTATTATGATATTGGGTGTTAGAATTATTGGTAATTACCATTCAGTAATTCAAAGGTAAACTGAGGGAAAGTATTAATATAATTAGATATATGACTTTCAAGTTTTGTCAGAGCTTACCTTAAAGTGATTATTGGGGGTATTCCATACAACCAGATCTGGGAGACCCCCTCTATGATGCCGAAGGTCTGTAGCTAGTAGTCTACAAACGCCACTTAAGAAAGGTCCTCCAAAACAGGATACCAGGTCCTTTAAGGCAAAACATAAACTTCTTTAATCTGTTTTTGTTGTCAGTTTAAAAAGCAGTAAGCACCTCTGGTCTTAGGATAAATGAAAAGTACCATATTAATCCAACTCATTGAATTCCCAAAATGAGATCTTTTAAAGTAAATAATTTCTTTAAAGGAAAATATACATAAACATATGATGAAAAGGAAAGAAGCATGGCATGGTAGATGGAAAATTATCTTAGAATAAGTAAGTCCTGAGTTCAACTCTCACCTCTGCTATATACAATACTGGCCATGTAACCCTAAGCAAGTCAATGTACCTCTTAGTAGCTCAGGCAACTTTCTAAGATGATGATTGAAAGACTTTCATTGGTGAATGGAATTTTTTCACCAAGAGTTCTCTATACCAATGAAATTATGGATCCAGAGTGGGGAAAATACAACAAAACAAAGTACCAATTTTATGCTGCTCAGGCTTTTTATATGAACCAGATTTGGGGTTTATAGGCAGAAAATACAGTAATCATTTTTAGCCTATCCAATGAGCACTCTAAACAGCAGAAACACAGCTAGGAATTCTGGCTTCTGAAACAAGTGTAGGGGTGGGTGGATAAAGATTATGAGATTAGTTCTGGAGTAAGAGAAGGCCTTTGGATCCCACTTCCAGCATGAATTGACCTTTACTTTTATTGCACCACAGGTGGCTTTCAGGTGCCACTTGATGGGGGAAGGGTAGCCTGCACTTCCCTACTATCATCAGTGACTTACAATCCCCCAGATGACAGATAAGGGACCCAATAGTGAGGGTAGGAACAGTGGTGGAAGACTCAAGCCTGGGATGTTGCAAGAATGTCTGGAAGATCTGCAGTGAATCACTGGGATACAGAAGATGGAAATGATGGTAGGTGTCAGCCCAGGGTCCAGAAGAGGCTAGTAACATGGATGGATGCCAGGTGAGGGAACAAGGATAGCCACACTATAGATCTGGGGGACATGGCATAGTACAAGAAGACTGTGAGGTATAGGGACAGTAGGCTGGAGGACTCAAGGGGAAGGAGCAAAATCCTTTTAAACTTTGGCACCTGGGGGCAAAGTTCCAGTCATCTTGTCCTAGTTATGGCTTTGTTAAACACATCAATCAATTAATCAACAAACACTCATTACACAACTATTATGTGCTAGGCACTGTAGACACAACGAAAAGGAAAGGAAATTATTCCAGGTCCCAAAGAGCCTACTGCTAGGAGCAGTGGGAGGGGGAGAGTAGGCAAAAACGTGTGTGCATGTGTGTGGGTGTATATATACATATATGTATGTGTGTATATGCAGAATAAATACCAAATAATGGATAGTTTAAGGAGAGAGGGCACTAGCACTAGGGAGAGGAAGAATCAAGAAGGCTTTATTTAGCAGGTAGTGCTTGAGCTGAGTTTTTAAAGGGAGTAGGGGATTCTATTATGTGGAGGTGAGGAGGTGGAGGAGGGAGGTAAGGAGTTTAAAACAGGAAGACTGGAGTAGAGTGAAAAACAGAAAAGAGGCCAATTATGTTGGGCTGTAGAGTGAAGGAAGGACAGTAATGTATAGTTAAGCTGGAAAGATAAGTTGTGGGGGCTCTAAAAGTCAGGCAGAGGAAGTCCTATTTTATCCTAGAGGTAAAAGAGAGCCATTAAAATTTATTGAATAGGGGAGAGGCAGGGTCAGAATTGCATTTAAGGAAAATCACTTTGGCAGCTGTGTGGAGGATGGAAGATCAGAACTGGGAGAGACTTAAGACAAGGAGATCAATTATGAGGCTACTGCCATAGTCCAAGTGAGAGGTGACAAGAGCCCGAACCCAGGTGCTGGCCGTGGGAGTGGAGAGTAGGCAAAAGAAAATCTTGCTGTATCACACAGGGTTCAAACTATGTTTCCATGCTAGTCTTATGTCACATAGACACTGTACTTCATGCAATTCTTGCTCTCTATTTTTATTTCTATTTAGTTTGATGCATAGTTATCTCAAACTTTGTAGTAAAATTTTTTTTTGTTTATAAAGCAATAATAAAATTGAAAATAATCTAATTTAACAACTGAGATTTATGTAGAAAAATATAAATGCATATATGCATCTAAATCATGATTTTACAGAATTATATTATGTACACCAGATACCAGTTGATAAATAAAATCAAAGGTGTTAGTGTAAAGTTCCAAATGCAGAGGGTCATAATCTCCCACCTGCATATATGACTTCAAAAAGCATATAATAATACTTAGGACATTCAGTAATCCTGGAAATGGACATAAAACAAAACTGGTTCCCAAAAGCATCTGAACAAATTTTTAAATGACAAAGCAATCAACAGTTAGTAAGAGATGATATGCATAGCCTTAAGAGTTGATGTCAATCACGCCTTGCAACAGCACTTACCTTGAGGTTTTTGCTAATAAAAGAATGTTGGGTTGGATGGACAATGAGTCCAACCTAATCTGGACATACCCTGTGCTCCCAGTAGATCAAATACTTTTTCCTTGCCTGTAAGTCAATTATACTAAGCTCAAGAAAACATATAAAACATCATTGACCAATATATTTTACTGACTTGTTCTTCTAAATAAATTTTCTGGTTAGCCACTTATCTGTCCTACCTCCACCTGCTCTGAATGGAAGTATCTCGTAATGCTGGTTTATATTTTAAGGGATAGCTCTAGAGGAGAAAGTAAGGCTGGTGGCCGCACAGCCCTCCCTCATTTAAATCCAATTCACCTGTAAGTCATGGCATCACCTCCCTAATGTCATGGTTCTCTTTGAGAGTAAAGGACAAACAACAAGGGAAGAATGAATCTGGAAATAGTATTAGGAGTGCAAACAGTCCAAGCAGCAAAGGCAGATAAGAGTTTCTGGTTGTAGGTGTGGGGCTGGATAAGTACAGTGAGAAACTGGTTGATTCAGGGATAGAAAAAGGGATGCTATAGTGCTTGGCTGTTGGAAGATGCTGCTGCCCCCCATTTATTTGGCCAACCTAGGGTAGGATGTCAAACACTTCCCCATTACCTGTGCTTGCTGAAGAGAAGAGAACCTGTCCCAGTTGACTCCTGATGCTACTTTACCCTCCTGAGCATTCCATACATTTGCAATCCACTCTTTCAGAGTCTCAGGAGAAGCCTTGTGAATCATCTGGAGCCTAGACTCAATAGCATCTCGTCTATTTTCATAGAAGCTGTCTGTATACAAATCCAATGGGAATGCCTGTATAGAAATGTAAATATGCTCTGTAATATGGTGACTGACTGGAATTAGAGGAATTTTCAAAAACTGTCAAGTTTTTAAAGGTCAATTTAAATAAAATGTCATTCTCATCTAAATCTTTTTTCTTAAAAGGTGATGCATCCATAAAGATGATTGTGTAAAAGCAATTTGTGATGCTAACTTTTTATAGCTGATATAACCTCAAAAGGGTATTTTAGGCTAAATAATGAGAGCTTAATAGAGCTTAATATCCATATGGCATATTCTGAATTCATAAGATCTAAGATTAATTTACTAATAATTTGGAATTCAACATAACAATTATTTAAAATATCAATATGTTAAGTATATAGCATAACATAGTATGCTATAGTATATAGTAATCATAAATAGTACAATAAAATAATCAAGAATATCAAAAAATTTAAAATAAATGTCTTCAATCTTCTATTACATATGAAACTAAATAGCAAAAAATGAATTATTAGAAAAATTGCTTAAAGATTTATAAAAATATATATAAATACCTGATAGAAATTTCTAAAAACATCTGGTATCCCATCCATGAAAATGATGTCCCATAGTAGAAAGCTATATAGAGTAATAAATGTAGACCCTTCCCCATGAATACCTAGGGCAAAAGTCATATAGATATTCTGATTTGCAGTAATAAAATGAAAATATGACAAAGTTTAATTTCCTTTAAATTAACTGCAACAACCCCTCAAACAGATGAACATTTACCAAATACTTAGCTTTCAAATTATTAACAAATTTTTTTGAGGACTATCACGTAGTATAAAAAAATACATTATGTATTGGTATTGCCATTTGTTTACGTAAGGGAGCCTGGTTTAGAGTAGCAAAATTTTATTCCTGAGATAATTAAAAATCCTTTTTTCAGATATTATCAACTATGTCATTTTGTTGCTGGAAACCCTGAAATGCCAGGGTACAGGGCAGAGTCTGCCTGAAATGAATTCACACACTCAAACCTTCTTCTAGTCAAGGAGCAGTTTACTGTAATGCCAACAGAAGTGGGCAGGATTCCTAGTGAACCTGCAACTTAATAGGGGTGAGACTATTGCTTATATACAAAAAGGACAGTGAAAGGATCTGAATGGGATTAAGGAGTAGTAAATAGTCTGGGGTAGGCCAGGTGAAATAGTGAAAGGAATATTAAGTAGTCTGCATGGGCTAAGAGCAACAGTGAAAGGACTGTCAAGCAAGCTAATTAGATGAGCTAGGCAGGCTGGGGTGGGCCAGTTGCCTTGGGCAGAGAGCTGGGGTGCTAAAATGTATGGGAAAATTCAGGGACTGGGTAGCTTTCAAAGGTCTTTTCTTTTTAGGGATCCAGGTCCCATCACCCCATCAGAAAGACATGGAAGAAGTGTTGATATGTAATATATTGAAACTCTCAATGGTAAAACCAAGGCAAAGCAAAGAGGCAAGATATAGAATCTGATCCCTGGTCAGCAGCAATTAGAAAGAAGGGAAAGGAAGATATAAAAATGGCCAGAAGGAGGATTCCCATCACTCTGGATAATAGTTAAGGATATTTCTATTTGTTTTTAGAAGATTAAAGGCAAGTATGTACTAAATGGGAATTGAATACTACGCAACTGGCCTCACAGTGGGTCAGTAGCATTTATTAAGAATCCTACTATGTGCTTGGCTCCGTGTTAAGCCCTAGGGATACAAAAAAAGGCAAAACACAGCCCTTCCCCAAAGAAACTCAAAGTCTAATGCAGGAGACAAGTAAACACATATGTACAAACAAGCTATATGCAGGACAAATAGGAATGGGATTTTAGATGGGACTTCAAGAAGTCAGTAGGTGTAGATGAGGAAGGAGAGCATTCTAGGCATGGGGAACAGTCAGAGAAAACCCGGTCAAGGGATGGAGTGTACTGTCCACTGAACTGCCAGGAAGCCAGCATCAAACAATTTGAGAACTACTTGTTGATATCCCTTTATTACTTATCTATTGTGTAATGATTTCGGTCAGGCCGACCAACCAGCAGACTGCTGCAACAGGACAAAACTGAGGTGATGAGGGTCTATGCTAGAGTGATAACAGCGTCAGAAAAGAGAAGGAGGTATATTCAAGAGTTATTACAAAGGTGAAATAGACAGACTTTGGCAACAGATTAGATATGGGGTGAGGGAGGTGGAGATAAGAGACTTCAAGAGTCAAGAAGATACCTACATTGTGAGCCAGAGGGAATGGGAGGATGGTGTACAATAACAGAGGAGAGGGTTGCAGAGGCCTTAGGGGGCGAGATAATGAGTTCAGTTTTGGAAAGGTTGAATTTAAGTGAGAAGGAGCAAGATTTTTTTTTTTAAATAAATGAGCTCCTGAAATAGATGTGGTCTGGGGGCAGCTAGGTGGTACAGTGGATAGAGCTCTGGCTTTGGAGTCAGGAGGATCTGAGTTCAAATCTGGCCTCAGACACATAACACTTACTAGCTGTGTGACTCTGGGCAAGTCACTTAACCCCACTGCCTAGCCAAAAAAAAAAAAAAAAAAAAAGGAACAGATGTGGTCTGACTAGGGCAGAAAAATGACCAACTAGTTTGATCCAACTCAGCAATAGCAAAGACCTGGACACATCCATCCATTGGCTATAGTGCATTTAGAAGTTAAAATGGTAGGACAAATGCTGTATAGAAACTGCCTTAAGTTTGAGCCTACTCTTTCCAGGGACCAGGGTGGCATAGGAGTCAGTGTGGCCCCAGGGGCTGGGGAGAAACACTGGTGGACGCTCAAGCCAATGGCATTAGGGAATCACTGGGATGATCCCAAACCTGAGATGCATTTGTGTAAGTGGGATATGGGATAAGAATTCTTAGAACTTCTATGAGCTACATGGGGTAGATCGGGGAAAGAGGAGACCTCATTCAGGATAAATGTAAAGCCCTTTGCTTTTTGGAAAACCTACTGGAGAGATTCTCTACCTGGGACTTTTATTATTGGACACCCTGGATCCACTGGAGAAATAAGAACATTTTTTCCTCTTTCTTTTAAACTGCAATTTTCAGTTTTGGGATATATATCTTTAAAAGTCAAATGAATTCTTCTGAGACAATCTTTGCCTGTAAGAATGGTTATTATGTACCATTATCTATTATATTACTGTAATCCTGTATGCACACTTCAGTTAACATGAGAAATTTTTGGATTTTGAACCCTAAAACACTAGTGACTAGTAGATTGCTTAGAGCATACTATGGTAGTTCATAAATGTTCATATTATTTGCTTTCACTTTCTATGAGACCCAGACTGCTTGCCTTTATTTGTGACATGAGCTTGTCTGAGACCCTTTTGGAAATCAGGTCCATTGGATAATGTTTGCCTACTGGCGTAGAAATCCCAGACATTCAACTCCAAGAGCTTAATCTCTTTCTCCTGGGAGTCTCACCCCTCTTCAGGGCTTACATGATATTATATTTAGCCTCTAACTCAGCCTATTTGTCTTGGTATTGGTCGAATTTGGAATTCCCATATGTGTCCTTGCAGTGGCAGGTGTCTCCTGGGGGAATATTCCAGGAGACTCTGGGAATAGGGACTCAAAGGAAATCTGCCTACAAAGAGGACTAACTATGGTATGGGGACCCTGAGAGAAATTCGAATGTGCCTCCTGTAGAAAGACATCTTAAAAATCTCATAGACCACAGTGGATGGCCTTATGCAGGGGTGGGGAAACGGCCTTGGGTGTGGCCTTTTCACTGGGTCTGAGTTTTACAGAACAAATCCTTTTATTAAGGGGATGTGTTCTGTGACATCTGGATTCAGTCGAGGGGCTGCACTTGAGGACCTAGAGGGCTACATGTGGCCTTCAGGCCACAGGTTCCCCACTCCTGTATGTGTTGATGGGATCATAAAATAGTTTTCACCAAGGACAGTCTGGTTTCCCACTGAAGGGTAGGAGTGGGGGATGATGAAGTCAGCTCTAGGATTACTCCACATGATTTAGGAACTTCTGTAGGGCTAAGTTTTCCTTTTTGAAACAGAAATCTTTATTTTCTTTTCCTTTTTAAGTTAGTGATTAAACCTAGGATGTGTGTGTGGGGTAGGGATGGAGACTCAAGAAAGAGATCCCTTTAATAGGAAAGGAAGAAAGTAAAGTACCCCAGTACCCCTAGAATTCAGTGCCAGTTATGTTTTGACACTTAGTAGCTGACTGAGGGGCAGCTAGATGGTGCAGTGGATAGAGCGCCAGGCCTAGAATCAGCGAGACCTGAGTTCAAATATGGCCTCAGACACTAGCTGCATTTCCCTGGGCAAGTCACTTAACCCTGTAAAATGAGCTGGAGAAAGAAATGACAAACTGCTCCAGTATACTTACCAAGAATACCCCAAATGGGGTCACAAAGAGTCAGCTGCGATTGAAATGACTGAGGAACAAAGCTGACTGAGTCCAGAATAGAGCGGCCTCCTCATAGGAAAGGTAAAGGGCAAGGACCCCAGCCCCTAAAGTTAAGGGACCAGGCAAATCAGTTTGGTTTCTGATCCGAAAGGTAAGGGGCTGATTTCCAGTCAATCCAAGGTCCTTAGTCCCTGTGGTGAGAAGCCCACATGCTCAAGGAACACTGGACCTCTGAGAAAAAGGGCTTGGTTTTCTTTTCTTTTCCTTTTTTCTCTAATGTATTGTTTTTTTTGGTTGGGAAAGGCCCTCTTTGCAAGCAAAAGACAGGAAGTAAACGATAGTTCTATGTTAACAAAACTGAGAACACAAAAGAAATAGAGAAATGCCTTCAAAAATGTAAAATACTCAAACCAACAGAATGCCAAATAGAGATCTTAGATAGTCAAACCTTATTAAAGAAATGGCTGTAAAGGAACTACCAAAGGGGAGGAAAAACTGGCCCTTACGGGTTCACAAGACAATCCCAGCAAACTTTTAAAGGACAATTAATACCTCTACTGTACAAATTATTCTCAAAAATTGAGAAAAAAAATACTCTACCAAACTTCCTTTGTGAAACATTATAGTCCTAATTCTTAAACAGGGAAGAATTAAAGCATAGAAAGAAAACAACAGATATCTCAAACTGGATGTCTTATAGAAATCTTAAACTCAACATGTCCAAAACTAAACTCATCTTCTCCTCTCTCCCCACCCCAACCCTGTCCTCTTTCAAACTTTACTATTACTATCAAGAAATACCACCATCCTCTCAGTCACCCAGGGTCACAACCCAGGTGTCAACCCTGACTCCCCACTCTCTCTCACCCCCCCACCCCATCCAAACAGTAGTCAAGATCTGTTGTTTCTACCTTTGTAACATTTCTTGTATATGCTGTGTTCTCTACTCTCACACAGCAACCAACCTCTTGCAAGCCCTCATCACTATTGCGCTGAACTACTGCAGGAGCCTACCGGTTAGTTTCCCTGAGCAAAAGATATTCCACAAATATCTAAGTAGTCAAGTGATATGAACAAACAGTTATCAAAATAAGAACTGTAAACTACTGAAAAAATGTTCCAAATTATTAATAAGAAAAATGAAAATCAAAATAATTCTGATGTTTCATTGACCAAGGTAATAAATATCACAAAAGTCACAAACAGTCAATACTTAGAGGAATTGTGGAAAGTCACATTAACACATTGGTGGTGGATCTATGGGTCTAATCTAACCATTTTGGAAAGCAATTTGAAATTCCGCAAATAAAGTAACTAAAATGTCTGTACCCTTTGATCCAGAGAGTCCAGTGCTAGGCATATTACCAAATGAGGTCACTGACAAGAAGGAAGGAAGTCTCCACATATACCACAGTACTTATAGCAGCACTTTTTTTTTTTGTTAACTTTATTTTATTTTTTCCAATTACATGTAAAGATAGTTTTCAACATTCATTTTTTATAAGAGCTTGAGTTTCAAATTTTTTCTGCCTCCTATTCCTCCTCTCAAAGAAGGCAAGCAATCTGATATAGGTTATACATGTGCAATCATGTAAACATATTTCCACATTAGTCATATTGTGAAAAAAGAAACAGAAGGAAAAGCCACAAAAAAACAAAAACAAAAACACAAAAGGGGAAAATAGTATGTTTCAATCTGCATTCAGACTCCATAGTTCTTTTTCTAAATGTAGATAACACTTTCCATCATAAGTCTTTTGGAACTGTCTCGGAACATTGTTTATTACTAAGAAAACCTAAGTCAATCATAGTTGATTATAGCACAATGTTGCTGTTTCTGTGTACAATGTCCTCCTAGTTCTTCTCACTTCATTCAGAATCAGTTCATGTAAGTCTTTCCAGGTTTTTCTGAAATCTGCCTGCTCGTCATTTCTTATAGTACAGTAGTATTCCATTACATTCATATACCACAACTTGTTCAGTCATTCCCCAACTGACAGGCATTCCCTCAATTTCCAATTCTTTGCCTCCACAAAAAGAGCTATAGCAGCTGTTTTACAGATGAAGTAACTGAGTCAAACAGGCTTAAGTGACTGGCCCAGAGAAATGCCGCTAGTGTCTGAGGCCATATTTGAACTCAGGTCTCCCTGATTCCTGGCCTGGCGCTCTATAGCTCAGCTTTGTGGTAACAAAACTGGAAACACAGTAGATGTCCACTGGCTGGGAAATGGCTAAACAAAAAGTGGTACATGAATGGAATGGAATGTTACTGTGCATTAAGAAATGATGACCACAAAAAAGCACAGAAACACTTACATGCAAAGTGAAGTAAGCAAAGCCAGATGACAATCTACACAATGACCTCAACAATATAAATGGAAAGAAGGACAACGATGAAACTACTGAACCTGAGTGTTGTGAAATTATAAAGAACAAGTGTGACACCAAAGAAGAACTATGAGAAGATGTCATCCTTTGCTGCTTTGTAGAATTGGAGTCATGGAATGTCTGACTTTGTAATGTGCTGACTGGACACAGGAAGAAATATAGGTGATGTAAAAATAGAAGACATTTTAAAAACTATTTTTAAAAAGTTGGTTATATTACCTTGGTCAAAACCATTCTGCCTGTAATAGGCTAGAGCTAGTTCTTCAACCGAACACATGACTGTGCTTGGAGTAAATTCATCTCCTTCTGTATCAGTTTCCTCCATAAGAAACACAGACTTTCCTATTCCACTTTGAGGACACATTTTCCCTTTTATGGTCACCTGAACAATATCAAAAAGGTATCAAAACAAATCAACCTAACTTAAAACAACTGTTTTCATGCAGTAACAAAATGTTCTCTTAATTCAGTGGGCCATGGCCAGACCTAGATACATTTTCAGTAGATAACATAAGTATATAACTGATAATCTTACAACAATAATAAATGTAGAATTTATACTGTTGTTCCCCCACTTCCTACCCGCCCCAGTGACAGCATGTAACTGCTGGAATTGATTGCTCTGGAATCAACTCAGGATAAAAAACTAGCAAAATGCCACGGGGAGCTTCTTTCCTCAGCGGTATAAAGAAAACCACCAAGAGAAGAAATTTTATTCATTTGAAAGGAAGAAAGAAAAAAACTGGACTTTGTATGTTTGGAGTAAATCACACGTTCTGTGAGCAACTGCTCATAGATAGGAACATGGAAAAAGAACAGAATTTGTTCAAAATGTGAACAGAAAATTTCTAATGTTAAAAGATAAAATAAAAATAGATTGTTCTTAAGTTGTTGGCTGTATAAAAGAGAAAGTATAGTCGGTTAATCTTGACTATGTGAAAACCAAAGGATATTTACTCACATGGGTAACATCCTGAATAGTTATAACTGGCATTTTATGAAAGAGGTGGCTGAATTTTTTACAACTCGGAGAATCTTTTAGTCGCATTGCTCGTTGGTAAAGAGAAAAACGATGTCCTGTTCGTACATGTGGATCCAACAACCCTTCTGTGATACAGTGAATAGCCTAGGGTACAACACAATCACACCTGAAAATCTTAAATATGGCAGACTTTTCTTTAGTTTAGTGGGATGCTATGAATTATTAAGCTTAGCAAAATAAACACTTTAAAAATCAGGGTTGCTGTATTGAATTTTGCTTTATCCAGTTCTGAAACTCCCTCTGATATTCCTCATAGTACATCTAAATGTATGATAAATACAACCTATCAACTACATGATGCTAGCTAGTTGCCCCTCGTACTCAGTTACGGAGCACAATAAATACTGGCTACTAAATCTTTGTGAAGAACTTTTGAACCACAGAAACCAAAGTGCCAAATAAGCACTAAATCACAGATCTGTTCTAACCCTTTCATTTTATAGACAAGGAAACTGAAGCCCAGAGGTGAGTAAGTTACCTAAGGTTACATAAATAGGTAGGAAGAAAGCCAGGACTAGAAACTGGGTTTTAGCCTTTCTTTGAAATGTTCTTCCCACTTTCTCAATCTGAAGGAAAAAACAAACAAACAAAGAAACAACTCAGCAGCTTTTAGGGTCGAGTTTAGAGGAATAAAACTTAAATAGTAAATGCAAGGCAAGAAATGATTAGTTAAACATGTATTTACAAGGAGATCCTTAAGTCAAAGGCAGTAAGACATTGTAAAAAGCATTTTTACTTTTAAAAGCATGGGATAAACACAACACACAGGACTAGCAAAGGAAGCCTCCCTGCTTGCCTTTGTAGTCAGTTCTTTATTATAATGTGCTATCTAGTTGTTCATTCCTTCACTACAGAGGTTTAGAAAGGGTAGAATAAGAATTTTCAAGGATTGTCAACTAAGTCCTATAAGGAAAGGCTTAAGGAATTGGCATTCTTTAGCAACAAAATGAAAGCTGAAGAAAACTTAAGTATCTGAAAGTATACAAAATAATTTTTAGATAAGCAACCCTAGCATTATCTGATATAAATCTAGATATCAATTCTAAGCTTACAGGTAAATGAAGGAAAGCAAACAAAGCCAAAAGACTTTCTGGAGCATCTTTACTGTTTCACCTCAGTTAAAAAAGCATGGAGGTAATCAAAAAGATATTCACTTGAAACACTTTGAGCAGGTTTTTAGATTTGCAACATAAAAGAAATATGCACTATTTCTACATTCCATGGTTAGTTCTTTCCACCCTGAAGTCATCATAACTTGCTTAATGTGCCAGTTGAAAAAACAAAAGCCCAAAGAGGATCAGATTCAACCATTCAATACAAATGCAAGACTGGAATGAAGATGGGGGTGAAACCAACAACTGGACATACAAAGAGCTACTGTTCCGATTCAGCTGTGCTTAATAGTCTTTTGATTCCCTACTCTGCCCTCTGATAATGCCAGCCAACAAAACCACTTTCTAATTCAAAGCTCTTCTACTCCACTAATCACAGTATTGGGTAAGAACAGGTGAACCAATTCAATGGTATGAGGATAATCATTCAACAAATTATATAATCATGTAACAAAGTACTGTAAAGGGTTTCAAAACTTTGTTTTTCTTAATCATGGGATAACATAGTAAGAAAATGAGCAGAACATGTAGTATCATATTTTATCATTATCTACTTAGAGGAGCGCATAAAACCCTGACCCTGGAACAAGGAAGACCTGTGTTCAAAGCCAATCTCAGAAACTGCCTAGTTGTGTGACCCTGGGCAAGTGACTTAACCTGTCTGCCTCAATTTCCTCAACTGTAAAATGGGGATAATAATGGCACCTACTTCACAAGGTTGCTGTGAGGCTCAAATAACATCATTTTAAAGCACTTAGCCCAGTGCCTGACACACAGTAAACGTTTAATAAATGCTTGTTCCCTTCCTCTCTGTCCCTTCTCCCTGGGATCTCTCATGGGTACGTACCACTGACTTCACACATCCTAAATACAATGCCTTTCCCTCTCCTGACCCTTCAAACCCACTCTGACTCAAGTTTCCTATTTCTGTTCATGGCAGGAGCATTCTTCCAATCGGTCAAGAGCAAAGCCTGGTTATCATCTCTGGCTCCCTCCATCTTCCTTGTTCCCTAGGTCTTACTGCTTAAGCCTCCACAGTGTCTTTCTTATCTCTCCCTCTTCCATCACTTTAGTTCAGGCTTTTATCAACAATAACTTCAGTTAGCACAAAGAACTTTCTAACTGGTTTTCCACCCCTAGTCTCTTCCTCTTCCTATTCATCGCCTATACCCTTGGGAGATTGTTTCTCCAAATAGAATCCTGATCATTTCATTATTCAAAAATCTTTTCAGAAAAAAAAAAAAAAACTTCAAGTCAGTACTCTTCATGATAGGCAAAGCATTATTAAATGCTTACAGTGTACAAGTTATTGTGTGCTAGGCTCTGACTAAAATAAGTGATAGTCCCTGCCTTCCAGAAGCTTACATTGTAATGCCTACCAAATACAATGCCACTCCAAATACAGTCTGAAGGCCTAGCATTCAATGCCACATTCTAGCTTCAACCCATTTTTTCCAGTCTGTCTTTCGCTACCTGCTTTCTTAGCCTGTAGCCTACCTTTGCCCCCTACCTTTGCTTTTAGGGTTCTCTCATCACTTTTTATCTGATGAAATCCTACACATTCCAAATCCCAGCTTAAATCCACCTCTTTCGAAATGCTTCCTCTGATCACTCAGATAGGAATGCTGAGATGGAGAAAGATCTGGATTTAGAATCAGAGGACCTGGGTTCAAATCTGATTCTGCCCTTTATTCTGGGGCCTCAGTGTCCTTATCTGCAAGATAAGGGGGCTGAACTAGACAACTTCTCAATTCTCTTCCAATAAGAGTCCTATGATCCTATGGAGCCTCACTCTAAACTCTTACAGCACGCCGCATATAGTTCTGACAGTTATCACATTCTCCTTTGCTGCTGTTGTTGTTGTTGTTGCTGTTGTTGGAGGCAGCTGGGTGGCACGTGGATAGAGAGCCAGACCTGGAGTCAGGAGGATCTGAGTACGAATCCAGCCTCAGACACTGACTAGGCTCACTGTGTGACCCTGGGCAAGTCACTTAACCCTGTTTGCCTCAGTTTCCTCATCTATAAAATAAGCCGGAGAAGGAAATGGCAAACCAAACCAGTATCTCTGCCAAGAAGAATCGTTATTCTGCATATATATTTTGCCTTATTTCTTCCATTAGGGTGTAAAGTTTCTTGAAGGCAAAGAAGGTCTTATATTATCTCTATTTCCCCCACAACGTTTTTTGCATCATGTAAATGATCAATACTGATTGAGTTTAATCTATTCTTTTGAGACTTCAATAAAATTATTCAAGTAGTTGCACACGTGTACTGAGTAATATTGAGAGTTTGTTTCTTAACATATTTACCCTCACATAACAAACTTAATCCACATTTAAGATGATTAGGGTATCTACAACTTTCATGAGAATATCCTATATTCAATTTAATAAACATTTCTTAAGTATCTATTATGTGCTCTAGGAATTGTGGATACAATGAAAAATATGAAAACAGTTTCTGTCCTCAAAGAGCATATATTCTATTGGAGGGCATATGACATATTCTGCTAAGAGGACATTGTAATCTAAAATTAATTTTGATTAACAATAAATATTAAGGGTCAGACTTCTATTTGAAAACTTCCTTTAGAATCCTTATGAAATTTTCTTGGGGCAGGGGGGAGGATAGACAAACAAAAATGACCCAACAAAGAAATAAGTGTTTTAATTACTATATTTTTTCAAGAATCATACTCAAGTACTTAAAAGATTTACATGGTCTTTCAAAATTGTAGCACAGCAGTTGATCACATATTTTAAAAAATGTGTTACTTAATAATGATACCTGTTCAATACGTTTCAAATGTTGATGTAAATTAAGTGCCAGTCTGTCCCACCATCGACCTCTGCTCTCAAGACAATATATTTTTTGTGACAAAAGATTTTCAAGTTCCTCTACTGCTTCCTATAGCAACAAGAAGCTTTCATTTAGACAAATGAAAATTAATTCAAGATGAATTAAATCTATAAACCAGTTAATATCACCAACTGGAGTCACAAATCACATTTCCACTCAAAGATGAAGCTGGTCACACGCTATTCATTTCACATGCACTTTGAGTTATCTCTCATGTAGTAAGGATGAGTTGGATAACCACATTTTTCATCAAGTCATCCTTGTAATTAAGTACTGAGAAGGTCAGTCAGGTTTCAGGAATGTGATTTGTGTGCATTAACTTTTCACAATTTTTCTCCAGGCCATGCAAACTGGCCCCTGTGAAAACAGTGCTTTCAAACTACCATACTCTGGTCAACTGAACAACTGGCCCAGGTATAACTTTATTATAGTCATTCTTTACTAACACATGAAGTCATCTTTTCACAATGACCTTTTACAATACAGAAATGCCAGAAGCAGAAGTAAACCTTAACATTTCTCACAAACTATTCCTGGTGTAAGCACACAGTCAGTTTCTGGCTTTTTTTTTTTTTACTTCCAGTTATTTCCTTTCCAAATAATCTATGATACCTGGTGAAAAATGGACATAAGTGAGAGTCTATTTTCATATCAAACTTGCATTTTACCTTTACTTTTTATCTCTCTTTTCTCATGTACATCCTATCAGATCTATTCAACAGAAGGTGAGAGAAATTATTATTTCTCTCTTATATTAATAACCAATTATTAATTAATATTAAGGTTTTCCTTTTCTATTTCCTCATTCAGAAATAAAACCCTATAGGTTATGGGGACCCTACCCACCTAGAAAACCATACAAGCAGAATCCAATCTAGGTGAGTCTTGCCCTCAGGAAATAAGCCCTTGTCCTTGGGACCTTCTATTAGAATTTAGGGTGACCCAGCTTATGAAATGAAAAACCAGCCAGCGAGGTCTGGGTAGAGATGAATTCTTTTGTCCAGATTGCTGGACGTGGATGAGTTTCATGATTAGGTCATATTCTCTGCAGGAAAAGCTGAAGACTTTTTGCCCATCTCCTCATTAATATGTCCAACCCCTCACTGAATGTTAACCAATCAGAGTTGATTTCCACCTTCAGGTACACCCCCTTTTCCAAAGGCTTTTTAAGCATTCAGTGACCTTCCAAGGTTTCTCTTTGGCTTACGAGAGAAAGACAAATGACCATCATTTTATCAATTATCTGCTAGCCATAATTAATAAAATTGATTGTTAATTACCCAGAAATGTCTCTCAGACTTTTCATTCATCACAAGGGGAAACAGGGTAAGGGTTCCAATAATATTTAATAATCTTAAGAAGTTTCTTCCTCTTTTCCCCCAACTCCCTCCCCCCCCAAAAAAAATCCTAGTGAATTACCTATATTATTTTATACTACATTGGGCTGGGCCCAATTGATTATTTTAACTATATTACTAGTGGCTACAAAAATGTATGAAAAAATGCAGAGCTACCTTGATAGCAAAATAAGATTAAATCATGCCGAAATCTGATTTTTTTTGTTATATATAAAAGAGCAGAAAAGTATCCAACATACCTCATACATGTGCAGTCTTTGTAGTATTTCAACTGCTCTAGAGAAAATCCTTGTATAAACCCACCCAACAGTAAAACACCGCAGGAAAAGAGGTAAATCCTCATGGTATCTAAAATAAAGTTGTCATACCAAGAATTTAATGTTAATTACAGGTTTGATAATACATGCACAGATCTGGGGTTTCAGAGTGGATATTACTTACATGGATGCAGATCACAATCTCTTGTGCTTAATTAAATGCATCTAAGTGGTACAGAGCCTAAAGCATTGGGCCTAATGTCAGATCTTCCAGAGTTCAAATCTAGCCTCAGATACTAACTGTGTGACCCTATGCAAATCATTTGACCTCTGTTTGCTTTAGTTTCCTCAACTGCAAAATGGGGATAACATCACCTATTTCAAAGGGTGGTTTTGAGGATCAAATGAGATAATAATTGTAAAGTGCTTTAGCACTATGCCTGATACATGGTAGGTACTATATAAATGCTCATTTCCTTCCCCTTAATTAGATGTCTATTACTAAAAAAAAAATGCCATTTGATGACCCAGCTTTTAGTGATAATATTTTTAAAACTGGTTTGGGGTAGGGCTGGGATCCTTGGATAACAGTTTGTTATCAGGTCCACACTCAAAGCATTTCCACCTTGGCAGGATCAGCCAGAATTTGTGTTCCATGAATCCAAGATCACCTCCATGCCATGATTGGGCACTAGAGTAAGACTTTAGTGGAGGACATCAATAACAAGGCAATATGGGGTTTTCAGACAAAAAAAAAAAACAGTCATCAAAAGTTTAAAAATAAGCTGAATGTCTTTAAAACCACACAGTATGCACCTCAGCCATCTACGTTTCATATGCTTTTCCACACCCTAAGTACAAATACAAATGAAATTCTGTCCAGGTTTTTAGTATCTATCCTCACATCCTTGAGATGCAGTCCAGCATTGTGAATAAAGATCTGGACTTGGAGTCAGGCAGAAGCAGGCTCAAGTTTCACCTCTGACACATGCACAGAGGCTGTGAAACCCCAAGCAAGTCACTTCTCTCAGGATCTCAGGCAACTCTTCTAAGGCTCTAGGCAGCAAAACAGCTGCCAATCTACATTAGTGAAGGAAGCTAGCTCCCTACAGCATTAAACAAAAGAACCAGTATTCTTGGGTCACTCTACTGGCCACTCACCAACTATTTTACCTACAAGCCAGAATCTAATAACAAGGGTTACCTTCCAAAGGAATAACCCTCAGGGTGGATGAGTAGTTATTTTTTAAGTAAAAACTATTTCCTTATGGGATTAATGCTCTAAATATTCTAAAAATAAAAGGATTTCATTGATAAATATTTTATAAATATTTATATTTTATAATTTTTGTAAATATTTTATGATGAAAAGAATAAATAGGACAGAATTTCTTGATAATATTTAAATATTGAAGATGCTCAGTAATTGTCATATAATATGATGTGAGACATCCTGTGCTGACCAGGTGGAACATTTAAAGCAACTGTTCACTCTAGTTTCATCTGCAAAATTGTACCCACTTGAATTTCCATTTGATGAATAAACCTTGTATGTTTTCCGTAACCTCTGCACCATTTCTTTGTTTCTTCTGCATTTCAAATTCAGCTGACTGGTCCGCAGCCAATTAAATGACAACAAGTGAAAAACAGATTATTGTTCACACATTTTTGGTGCTCAGAAAAGTACACTTTCTTATATGAGTTCATTTTAAGCTTTTGGATTGTTTCTACTTCACACAACAGTATGTAAATAAGCAAGAAATATAATGCTTCCAGTTATATTGTAGGTTTGACCACAGAATTAATCAGCATGATCTTCATGCTCCCCTAACCCCACAATAAGTCTTACATAAACTGAGCATGTTCATTGGGGTGTGCATTTGAAGACACTGCTCTAAGCTATTACCTTAGGGATGGATGATTTTTTAGCTTGTTCCAATCCTCCTTTGCACATTTGCAGAGCTCATTAGCTTCCTTCCATTTCCCATTAACCATCATAGTAGAAATATCATTCAACATATGAGTAGCTGAAGCATATCTGATGTTTTAAAAAGTCATAATGAAAAGGCAAGTCAAAAAAGCATTTGTATAAAAATGAATGAAATGTAATCCATTTCTTATACTTAATTTCTCTCCAAGATGAATTTTTCAAAGTTAGAAAAGGACAGTAGTCCAATCTAGTCAGTATTACTTAGGGGCAAAATACTTTTAGCATAGCAATAATTTACTAATACTCTAGTAACCTAGAAGAGCTAACACATTTTGTTCCGTGAAATAATTCACTGACCAGAAGAATTATAAAATACAGAGCTAAACAGAGAAGTCTGTACTTTGAAGCACTTTACTCACCATCTATCTCTGAGAGTAAGTTTTTAACTTTTTCTTGTTACTGTGGTACATATTTGATAAACTATTCATTCAAACACAGGTGTCCTTCCCAATTTACTGGGGTCTTTCAAAAACAATGCCAGTAACATTAATTTGAATGGCTAACAATATGTCATATATCCAGTTGCCTTTATATGAGATAAAGAGACCGTGTGTACCAGCAAAAAACAATGAACCTATTATTTGTGAGCCATGAAGGCTTTGAAAACATTGCTGATGACTTGACAAGGCAGAAGACAAAAGTAGGGTTAGTCTATTCTTAAGCAAAGGCAGCCTGTTCATTTAAAGACAGTCTAAACCAAGTGAAGACAGAAGGTTTTTGGTTTTGTTTTGTTTTGGTTTTTGTTTTTTAACAAAACCAGAGCAGGGGCCATCTGACCATTTCACAACTGTGACGAGTTTCACCTATGGATTTTCCGAAATCAATAAACCTCAAAGGAAGGGTATCATCTCTCATTAGCCCTTAGGATGTAAAAAAAAAAAAATCGACTCTAACATTGCCATTGAGCCTTTACATTTGCTGCAGTCATATTTAAACTATTTTCCTTTGGATTCACTTTTCAAAGAAGAGAGTCTGTCACACTGTCAAAGTAATAAACAGAAAACTACACAGTGTAACAATTTCTTTTAAGTATACTTTTCTGTATCAAAGGATACATACAAAGGTCATAAACAATTTCATAGCAAAACCTCCTGAGAAAAGAGAACTCAAAGACAAATAATTTCAAACAGGTCTGAAGAAGCCCAAATAGGTTTCTGGAAAATCAAAGAAAGACCATTTCATTAGTACACTAAAATTTTAAGCTCCGTGAAGGCAGGAATTTTTTCACTTCTGTCTGTATCCCCAGCACCTGGTCCATATGAGGTATTTAATTAATGCTTGTTGAATGAATTAAACTTTTCGTATCTAAAGATAACAGATTTAATCTCCAAGTTTCAATCACTGCTATCATTTATCCACTTTTTAACCATTTTTTTTTCTTAGTAACATGGTAATAGCCATTATTAGTTAGTATTTACTATTCAAAGGGCAGTAGAAATGTGTTAGGGAGGTAAAACTTTGTTATGACATCTATCACAATTCCATTTTCAATAGAGTCAAAGATTGAATACATCACGTAACACTACTTAGGAAAATGTGTATGTCTTTAATACTATTATTAATTGGAAGCTAGTGACTTTATGAGAAATCAAAACACTGTAACACAAATCCAAAAGAATGAAAAATTAGAAAACAATGTGAAATATCTCATTGGAAAAACAACTGACCTGGAAAATAGAACCAGGAGAGAGAATTTAAAAATTATTGGACTATCTGAAAGCCATGATCAAAAAAAGAGCCTGGACATCATCTTTCAAGAAATTATCCAGGAAAACTGCCCTGATATTTTAGAACCAGAGGGCAAAATAGAAATGGAAAGAATCTACTGATCTCCTCCTGAGAGAGATCCCCTAAGGAAAACTCCTAGGAATATTGTAGTCAAATTCCAGAGTTCCCAGGTCAAGGAGAAAATATTACAAGCAGCCAGAAAGAAACAATTCAAGTACTGTGGAAACACAATCAGGATAACATAAGATTTAGCTGCTTCTACATTAAGGGACCGCAGGGCATGGAACATAATATTCCGGAGGGCAAAGGAGATAGGATTACAACCAAGAATCACCTACCCAGCAAAATTAAGTATAATCCTACAGGGGAAAAAAATGGTCATTCAGTGAAATAGAGGACTTTCAAGCATTCTTGATGAAAAGACCAGAGCTGAATAGAAAATCTGATTTTTAAATACAAGACTCAAGTGGAACATGAAGAGGTAAACAGGAAAGAGAAAATCCATAAGAGACTTATTAAAGTTGAACTGTTTACATTCCTGCATGGAAAGATGATATTTGTAACTCATGAGACCTTTGTCAGTATTAGGGTAGTTAGAGGGGAAAAAATTATATGTACGTATAGATAGATAGATAGATAGATAGATAGATAGATAGATAGATAGATAGACAGACAGATAGATAGATAGATAGATTGAGGGCACAGGGTGAGTTGAAAATGAAGGGGTCATACCTGGAGAATAAAATTAAGGGGTGAGAAAGGATTATACCAGCAGAAGGAGAAAGGGAGAGGTAGAATGGGGTAAATTATCTCACAAAAAAAAAAAAAAAAACCAGAAAAGACTCTTACAGCGGAGGGGAAACGGGGGAAGGTGAGAGGGAATGAGTGAATCTTACTCTCATAGGATTTGACTTAAGGAGGGAATAACATACACACTGAATTGGGTATGGAAATTTTTACCCTACTGGAAAATAGGGGGGGAAGGGGACAAGAGAACAGGGGGATGATAGAGAGGACGGCAGATTGGGAAAGGGGGTAATCAGAAGCAAATACTTCTGAGGAGGGACACGGTCAAAAGAAAGAATAGAATAAATGGGGGGCATGGGATAAGATTAAGGAAAATAGAGTTAGTTTTTCACAGCATTATCTACTATGGAAGTGTTTTGTATAACTGCACATATATAACCTATATTTAGTTGCTTACCTTATCAATGAGGGTGGGCAGGGAGGGAGAAAGGGAGAAAATTTGGAAGCCAAAGTTTTAAAAACACATGTTTAAAAAAAAATGTTTTCACATGCAACTGGGAAATAAGAAATACAGGAAATGGGGTACAGAAATCTATCCTGCCCTACAGGAAAAGAGAAGGGGAAGGGGAAAAGAGAAGGCGGGGAGAGATAGAAGGGAAGGCAGACTAGGGAAAGGGGTATTCAGAATGCATGCCATCTCGGGGTGGAGGAAGGGGCAAGATGGGGTGAAAATTTGGAACTCAAAATCTTGTGGAGGTAAATGTTGAAAACAAAAAAATAAATAAATAAATTACCATAAAAAAAAAATATCAAATTGGGCAACCACTTCCAATACCTGGTTATTCACTGGGGAATAAAAGATATCAATATAGTTGTATCTTAACCTATCCCATCTCATGCAGATTCACTAATCTCAGGTTCTGAAAATCATCAATTGAAAACTTTGAGGTGTCTCAGAGGTCATACAGTTTACTTAAGGTTACATATAAGTAATAAATCGCAGAGCGAGAAATTGAAAAAAAATACTATTATTAAAGATAAGGTGATCATCTTCAGTCTTGCTAGTGAAAACAAAGTATCTCATTTTAAAAAATATTATTTAGAGTGAGATAAAATAATGAATTAAAGGAAGTGAAGTAGGATAATAAATCAGGAAAATTGACTACCCAAAGCAAATGACTTTGGCACACTAATTCTAAGTACTGTTTCTATGTAGTTCATATACTTACAAAATTCATTATTTCCACATATGAAACAAAAAACTCAAAAGTTTGTTTTTATTCTGAATAATACTGGCAATCAAAAACACATTAGCTATTAAAATCATCTGGCATAATCCTACCTGATGAGATCTTCTTTATCTTGGAAGACTGGTGTTTTCCTATTTATTGTGTAACTGGGAAAAGTCATTCGGCCTAGGTTGACCATTAGTACCGTGAAAAGTTGGCCTTGCCCACCACAAGCAGCATCTTCTTCTTCCACTGAATCAGTCAATGAAAATAGCAGCAAAATACGGGAAAAAACAGCCCGAGGACCTTTACAGATCCTTACAGACTGTCCTACCAAATCCTTTGCCCTAGAAAGAAAATTTATAATGTATCCTTACTATTATCATTTTAAATATATTAAATGCAGATTGTTTAAAAATTATTTTATCACTAAAGAATTTTTAAAAAAACCAACCCTAAAGAGTATATATTCATTCTGTGATGGAAAAAAACCTGGGTATTAAAATATCAAAAAAGTTATTAATCATTGCAAAAAAATTACACATTCAACATCAGCAATTCTCAACTCCTGATCCCAATCCCTTTTTCAAACAAATGAAAGAGATTTATGTGAATTCTCATTATTATTATTACTCCTTGGTAGAGAGACACATCATTTTGCATTTGGAAGTGGTATAGCAGTCAAATGAAAGCCAGGCAGTACAGTATAATCAGTTTCCACCTCTGGGGACCAGCTCTATTCCACAGCTATTTGCAGGGATTGCTTGAGACAGTACAGGACTTTCTGTGAGGACAAAACATTGAAAACAAAGCAGGGGCCCACCGAATAGGATGTGGCTGAACAAATTATGGACTATGAACGGAATGGAACGCTACTATGCTGATAGAAACGACAAATACAATGCATTTATAAAAATGTAGATAGGCTTGTATGACCTAGTACACAACAATGAAAACAGAACCAGGGAGAAGGACAGACCTAACCACAATAACATAAGCAAAAATAACAAGAGGTCACTGAACCCAGATTAAATGGCATAGCTAACGTTGGTCCTGAAGGACAAATGACAAAACATTTCCTTCCTCTCAGCAGAGAGGTGAAGAAATCTGTATGTGGAATACTGCAAATACGGTCACATGCCATTGCTGGTTAGGTTTTTCTTAGTGCCAAGATAGGGTTTATGGGGAAGTGTGTATTAAAAAATGACTATGGTGTAAAAAATGTATCAACAAACCTTTTTTTTTGTTTCTTTAAAAAGATGACATAGCATAAACAGCCAGAAGACCTGGATTCAAGTTCCAGCTCTTATATTTATTAACTGGGTGATCATGGACATGTTGTCTGACACCACGAGCCTCAGTTTTCTCATCAGTAAAATGGACATAATACTATTTACCTTACTTCTTAGGGTTGTTATCAGGCAAGTATTTTGTAAAACTTTAACTGGTGAGGAAGTATGACTGTGAATAATAATAGGTAATTTGATGCTTTTTAAGCATCCTCATAAGCAAAATGAAACAACACTATGATCAGACCAACTGCTGCAATCCAGCAAGACTCTTAAAGACATTTTAAATGCCCCCTATTGATATCTCTCATTTTAATGGGGGGGGGAATATATATATAAAATGCATAAATATATATATGTGAAGTACAAATGTTAATTTTTACAGCAGCAGAAAACATTTTCTATTGCAACTAAGTAGAAAATTGTGCAATAATTTTAATGATGGGCAAATCTGGGGTCTGTATAAATTTCTAAGAAGGTTAAAAATCTTATTTGATAGTGATTTGAGGTAAAAACTAAAATAGTCTTGCCAAAAAAAACCCAAAAAACAAACAAACAAACAAAAAACCTTTTCCTAAGATTAGTGACCAAATCCGTTGACCTAATTTCTTTTATAATCTAACCTAGTGCAGTGAAAAGCACACTGGATTTGGAGTCAGAAGACCCAGGTTATAATTCTGGCTTTAACAGCTTATTAGGTATGTGATACTGGGTAAAATTTAGCCTCTTTGGGCCTCAGCTTTCTCTTTTGCAAAAAGAAAATAATATTAATACAATTCCCCCTACTTCACTGGGTTATAAGGATCAAATGAGATTCCATATGTAGGTGAAAACATTCTGAAACCTGCAAAGTATCATGCAAAGTAGGATATCATAATTTGTATTTACTAGGAAGGTTTTTGGGCCCAAAGAATAAAACAACATAAAATATATAAAGAAAGTGCTACATGTATAAAAGATACATAGGAACTTTTGTTGTTGTTGTTCAGACGTTTTAGTTATGTCTAGGACCTTTGTGACCCCACCTGTGGTTTCCTTGGTAAAGACAATGGAGTAGTTTGCCAATTCCTTCTCCAGCTCATTTGACAGAGGAGGAAACTGAGACAAACAAGATTAAGAGACTTGCTCAGGCTCACACAGCTAGTATCTGAGGTCAAACTGAATTCATGAAGATGAGTCTTCCCGAACCCAGGCCCAACATGCTATCCACTTAGGAACTTTATAATACTTTAATTATCTCACATTCTATAATCAATTAACCTTGGCATATGCTATCAGTTCTTGTTTTTTTTTAGTCTGTAAAGTTTTTTGTTCTCTTGGTATTTGATGGGGCCAATATTTGCAAAATCTATCATTTTACCTTCTTATTATGAATAATATTCTAATGGATCTGTGATCTCAAAGATTTCGAGGTTTCCTTCAACAATGCAGATTGCAACCTGTCCTGTACAATTCCTGTATATGTTCTTCCCTAAGTTTGCCACAGAAGAGCCAAAATACTAGGGGCCTTCCTTGCTTTGTCATGACACTGCAAAGATATCAGTACAGCTCCCAGGCTGCCCAGTGGTTATCCCTTGCTCTATCCATGTTACCAGTCCTTCTTCTGATCGTATGTCTCCCTGATGGCATCTTTTACTCCTGTTCTTCAAAGCTCCTTTACTGTTATGTGTGACGGCCTGCTCACACTCTCCCCACTGCCCTCTGTGTGCCGATACTCATCTTTAGTTCTTTGGGGGCTATAGTGTTTCATGTCTTACAACTAGAGAATACCAGTAGAATACTGATATTAAAAAGATAGACCATTGTTTCCAGGAGGAGTTTGAGGTTATTAAAGTAGTTTTACAACTTCCTGAAGACAACCTAGCTCTCTACTTCTTTTTTTAATTCTAGGGTAACTCATGGCCTATCTGTACCACCTGTCTCACACATGCACACACACATACATATATACATGCATACATCCCATTTATGTATGCATGTATGGATGTGTATATATACATATACACATAAAGGGGGTATTGTCTGTGTATAAAATGTCCCTCTGTGTCTTCATGTATACACACATACATATACTGATGGATAAGCTCTAACTTATCCATCATACTGCATGTCATGATCTGGGCAGTAGACATTCTTTATCCACTTGGTGTTTTTTCTTTTGTGTGGATGAAAAGGCCACTTCTTCCGAATGCTTACAGTTCACCTTCCAGAAGCCTTTGCAACATTCAATTTAAAAAGCATTTGACATGCATTATCTCATTTAATTCCCACAATTACACTGTGAGATAGGTGTTATCACTAGTTTACAGATAAGGAAGCCCAGACTCAGAGAGTTTAATTGACTTATCAAAGGTCAGAGATAGATCAAATGGTTTCTTTCCATTTTACTGTACTGTTACATCTATGCTTATCTCAAGGAAAACATAATTTCTGTTAAAAATTCTTACTTAAAATATTTCACGTGACCAGGCAGAGATGAGCTGCAATCTACATCACTGAAAGGAATACATATTGAAATTGGAGATCTGTTTGAGAAGCTCATGTTAAAAAATTGAGTTCATGATACTCTGAAAGTTGGAAGTTACTGACATGAGGAGTGAAGTTAAAAAATCTCAATGGGAAGCAATGTTAGAAAATCCTAAACATTTCTTTTTTTCTTTTTCTTTTTTTTTTTGCCTAGGCAATGGGGTTAAGTAACTTGTCCAGGGTCATACAGTTAGTAAGTGTCAAGTGTCTGGACTGAGATGAGATGTGAACTCAGGTCCTCCTGACTCCAGGGCCAGTGCTCTATCCACTGCACCACCTAGCTGCCCCTATTCTAAACATTTCTATAGCCTTCTTTGTCACTTCAGGTCATCTAAGCAGTGAAAGGCAATATTCATAAATGCAAGTTCGGTGGAACATTTTTCAGAGTTTTATTTTTCAGAGTTGTAAAACTACATTTAGTGAAAAACTCTATGTCTAAAGGTCAAAATATATTTAATCATCAAAACCTGAAGGGCAGAGCTCTTAAGTGAAACAATATGCCCATGGTCTTAGAATTTTCACATGCATAGGTTACTATGAAAACAGTGCAAAATGTAAATTGTCAGAACTAAAACCATTTTCAAAACAGGGATTCCTTATACGCATCTTTGTCTGAGGTTTTGAATGAAAAAATCCATCTTATTTTCATTTGGGGTAGTAAGTTGTGTTTCTATCTAGGCATCCCTAATGTTAAAGTATATTTGATGTGTCATAAATATTGATTAAAAATATTACTACAGGGGGCAGCTAGGTGGTGCAGTGGATAAAGCACCGACTTTGGAATCAGGAGGACCTGAGTTCAAATCTGACCTCAGACACATAACACATTTACTAGCCATGTAACTCTGGGCAAGTCATTTAACCCCAATTGCCTCACCCCCCCCCCCAAAAAAATATATATATGTGTATATATATATATACATATATACACACACACACATATATATGTATATATATATACATATATATATATATACACACATATATATAACTACAGGAAAAAAAAGCTTCTTGGCCATTTGTGCTCAGGAAAGGTAGTGTATTAAAATATTAGGACTACTAAAGACCTGAACTGAATCTTTTTATACTAAAATCACATGGGAATATAAAAATTTCTGTCAAGATAAGATTTCAATATATTAATTACAAGGTATAACTCACCAATTTGTTTTATTATTTTTTCTTTGACAGGAATTAGTACTATATGTTATTTATTTGACCAGATGTGATTTCATCATTGTAGAGAATACCAAGTGAGGAAACTGTTTTCACTGATAATGACAGAATGAAAACTACTTGGCAACTTCTGCTCTTAGGAGTTCCCTGGGGCACTGAGGGGGCAAGTGACTTCTCCAAAGCCACACATCTAGTATGTGTCAAAGGGGAGACTTGAACCCTAGACCTTCCCGCCACCAAGACTGGTTCTCTATTTACTATGCCATGCGGCTTCCTCTGTTACTGTTTTTTTGGAGGCAATCGGGATTAAGTGACTTGCCTAAGGTCACAGAGCTAGTTAAGTGTCCGAGGCCAGATTTAAACTCGGGTCCTCCTGACTCCAGGGAGGATGCTCTATCCACTGCATAATCCAGCTGCCTCTACTTCCTCTGTTTTTGAAAACAGAAGATCTTGCCTCTCCTTTGAAAAACCTACAGTGTTAAAAGCAGGCCTGTGTTGTCCATACACCAAGCTAGGAATGGTCATATTTTTAATCTTAAGAAAAAGAAATTACAGTTTGTTTGTTTGTTTTTTCATTCAAACCAGTTAAAATAAGCACCCGACTTATTCAATGAATACAGCGTGTGAAAGCATTATTTCTTTAACTCATAAAGGCAGTTGGAAGTTTTTAATGCATTAAAACACAATGGCACCTTTTCAAAATCACTGCACCAATGCCAGGCTGATTCTTGCCAAAACTGAAGACTGAACGCTGTTTGGCCAACCTGAGGAATGTGTCCACCAGTTGCTGCTTCTGTCCACTGGGATTTGTCAAATGAAATGTCTTTGCTAAGGTTTTTAGCTCAGGAGCAGAAAGCAGTTCAAGTACTTCGGAGAGTTCTTGTAATTCAGATTCTAGGGAAGTAAGAAGCATAAGCATTTAAAGTGGAATAAGTCTTTAAATTTCTACAAACATAACCTCTCAACAACAATCTCATGGAAATTCTTTCCCAAGAGCATCTACAGTTTCCAGCTCTTTTGCCAGTGGGACATAATTTTTAAAAAGGTAAAAAGGATGGTTTTTATCCTCTAATGATATAGCAATGGCTAACAGGGCCAAGAAGGCATGTACTCTTCCCAAGAATCAGCAGAACTTTCTTCAGCAAGACTTAGGCTATTCTAACAATTAAGTGAGTAAATAAACTATAATTTATATAGTGTGACAGGATCTCAGATGGGGCTCCACCTATTGAGTTTCTCCTCCCTAGGTTTGTACAGTGCCTGAAATTCTACCATTACAGTTTCATTCCTTTGACCTTTGATAATTTGGTCTTCAAGAATCACATATATTTATGTGAATACACACACACACACACACACACACACACACACACACACGCACACGCACGCACACACATTCCCTTTCCTACCAATTAAAATTCTCAAACTTAGTGAAAGCTCTGAGGAACTGAGGATATTTATCCAGGTGAAAAAAGACAGTTAGGTGGAAGATCTTGAGAGACAGCATATGATATCTGTCTACAAGTACTTGAAGGGTTATCACATTTTAAAGGAATTAGATTTTTTCTGCCTGCCTCTAAAAGGAAAAACTAGGAGAAATGGGTGTAAATTGTAGAGCAGAATACTGAGGTTTGATGTTAAAAATAAAACTTTCTTTCCAAGAAAGGAATGGGAAGCCTCAGGAGGGCAGCATCACTAATGGGCTTCAGAAGGCTGGATGACCACTTGGGAGGGAAGAAGGAAGGAAAGTAAGGGGTAAAGAAGAGAAGGAAGGAAGAAAGAAAGGACACAAGCATTTATTAAGTGCCTACTATCTGTCAGGGACTGTGCTAAGCACTTTACAAGTATTATCTCATTTGACTGTTCAGGCATAGGTTAGGCTTAATAGCCTCTGAGGCCACTCAAAGGCTGAAATGGTTAAATTCTGATTCTTCACAGAAATATGAATGATTAAATAGGTAACTGTAAGAGACCAAATCCAACTCAGATTCTGTGATTCTGTGAAGTTCTATTGTAGTCTAGTTTCTAATTTTGTTTGTTTAATTATAAGAGTTTCTCATTCAAAGGGGAAGGAAACAATCATGGATCTACAAAAAAGCCATTTAGTAATCACCAGCTTTGTGCACTAAACTAAGCAATGAGTTACAAAATGAAAATGATCCTTTTACTAATTAATAAAAATAATTCATTAAAATGATCATGTAGCTTACAATCTTAAGCCTTAATACTTTAAGAAGCCATTTCTTCCTTGTGGGTAATTCCATCTACTAACACAGACATCAACAACATTATCAGTCTTCATGAATTGTAGAGCCATCACCCACTCCCACCTCTGCCCTCTCCACTCCTTCAAAAAAAAAGCAGAGGAGCCAAGACTCTAAAGAAAAAACCTTCCCACAAATAGATAAGGTCTGTACTCCAGGCCTTTTGAACTTCCTAAGTCCTCCCAAAATCTGTGTTCCACTGGCATAAAGTTTAAAAAATAATCAATCAACAAACATTTTTTAAAGGTTTACTATGTGCCAGGTAACTGGCAAAAACACAAAAAGCAGTCCTTACCTTCAAGAAACTTATATATCAAAAGAGAAGAGAACATGTAAATATATATGTATATCTACCATGGATATAGAAAAGAACATTAGAGGGGAAGGCTTTGCTGGTGAGGATCAGGAAGGCCTCCTGGAGAAGGTGGCATCTGAACCATGTCCTGAAAGATGCTAAGGTGAAGAAAGAAAATGTTCTAGGCATGGTGGATAGCCAGAGCAAAGGCACAGAGGTGGGAGACAGTGTCATGTGCTGGAAAGCAAGTAGGATGGTATTGCTAAATCACAGAATTTATGGCAGGGAATAATGCATAAAAAGACTGGAAAAGGTTCAAATTGTGAATAGCCTAAAATGTCAAATACAAGAATTAATATTTGAATCACAGGTAATAAGAAGCCACTGGAGTTTACTGAGCAGGGGACATGATCAGTTCTACATTTTAGCAAAGTCAGTTTGGTGACTTTGGACTATGGATTGGAATGGGGCATCTTGAAGCAAAGAAACCAATTACAGTTATCCCTTCCACATTGAGACTTTCCCCAACACGGTTTCAATATATCAAGGGTCAGCATAAGAAATTGAATGGAAATTTTCTGGGAGAAGGTCAGTGGGAAAGGTCTGTTGGACTTGGGTGAGAGGCACATGGTCCAGCTGGCCCTAGCGCAGCCTCAGGGTGGTGGCCATAGAAGCAGCGGCTTGCTTCCAGAGTTCTTGGCTCACAGATGGTGGGGGGATCCAGCAGCTGATCAGAGGGGGATTGTAGGGATCTCTTTGCTGGTGATGAGGCAGGATTTGCCCATGCTTGGATCTGGGTCCCAGTCCTGGGGGAGGAGGAGCACTGGCATAGCAGAGCTTGTGACAGCAGTGGAGAGGATACCCTCCTCTCATTTCCAGGGCAGAAAAGAGTGCTTATGGTCATTCACAGTCCAGAGCACAGGCCAGGAGAGGAGTAAACACCTCTCCTTAGAACATACCACCTTGGAAGAACTGAAAACTTACAGGTCCCTAGAAGTATCTCTGAAAACAGCTGCACAAAACCCCTGAAGCTTGGGACAGTACATTCTCCACACTGAGAGCAGAGCCTGCCTTAACAAAGAGTTAAAAAGTCAAGTGACTGGTTGGGAAGATGAGCAAACAGAGGAAAAAAAAGTCAGACTACAGAATCTTACTTTGGTGACAAAGAAGATCAAAACATACAACCAGAAGAAGACAACAAAGTCAAAGCTCCTACATCCAAAGACCCCAAGAAAAATACGAATCAGTCTCAGGCCATGGAAGAGCTCAAAAAAGATTTTGAAAATCAAGGAAGAGAAGTAGAGGAAAAATTGGGAAGAAAAATGAGAATGATGCAAGAAAATTATGAAAAACAAGTCAATAGCTTGCTAAAGGAGACCCAAAAATATGCTGAAGAAAGTAACACCTTAAAAAATAGACTAACCCAAATGGCAAAAGAGGTCCAAAAAGCCAATGAGGAGAAGAATGCCTTCAAAAGCAGAATTGGCCAAATGGAAAAGGAGGTCCAAAAGCTCACTGAGGAAAATAAACCTTTAAAAATTAAAATGGAGCAAATGGAAGTTAATGACTCCATGAGAAATCAAGAAATTATAAAACAAAACCAAAAGAATGAAAAAATAGAAGATAATGTGAAATATCTCATTGGAAAAACAACTGACCTGGAAAATAAATCCAGGAGAGGAAACTTAAAAATTATTGGACTTACCTGAAAGCCATGATCAAAAAAAGAGCCTAGACTCATCTTTCAAGAAATTATCAAGGAAAACTGCCCTGATATTTTAGAACCAGAGGGCAAAATAGAAATTCAAAGAATCCACTGATCACCTCCTGAAAGAGATCCCCAAAGGAAAACTCCTAGGAATATTGCAGCCAAATTCCAGAATTCCCAGGTCAAGGAGAAAATATTGCAAGCAGCCAGAAGGAAACAATTCAAATATTGTGGAAACACAATCAGGATAACACAAGATTTAGCAGCTTCTACATTAAGGGTCCAGAGGGCATGGAGTATAATATTCCAGAAGGCAAAGGAGTTAGGACTACAACCTAGAATCACCTACCCAACAAAACTGAGTATAATCCTTCAGGGTAAAAAATGGCCATTCAATGAAATAGGAGACTTTCAAGCATTCCTGTGGAAAGGATCAGAGCTGAATAGAAAATCTGACTTTCAAATACAAGACTCAAGTGAAACATGGAAGAGGTAAACAGGAAAGAGAAATCATAAGAGACTTATTAAGGTTGAACTGTTTACATTCCTGCACGGAAAGATGATATTTGTAACTCATGAGTCCTTTGTCAGTATTAGGAGAGTGGGAGGGGGAAAAAATTATATGTATGTACAGATAGATAGATAGAGGGCACAGGGTGAGTTGAAGATGAAGGGGTGATATCTGGAAAATAAAATTAAGGGGTGAGAGAGGATTATACTGGGAGAAGGAGAAAGGGAGAAGTAGAATGAAGTAAAATAATTCAAATGAAACAGACAAGAAAAGGCTTTTACAGTGGATGGGAAATGGGGAAAGGAGAGAGGGAATGAGTGAATCTTATTCTCATAGGACTTGGCTTAAGGAGGGAACAACATACACAATGGGGTATGGAAATCTATCTTACTCTACAGGAAAATAAGGAGTGAAGGGGACAAGAGAGCAGGGGGTTGACAGAGGTGACAGCAGATTGGGGGAGGGGATAATCAAAAGCAAACACTTCTGAGGAGGGACAGGGTCAAAAGGAGAATAGAATAAATGGGGGGGTAAGATAGGATGAAGGAAAATATACTTAGTTTTTCACAACAGGACTACTATGGAAGTGTTTTGCATGACTACACATCTATAACCTATATCGAGATGCTTGCCTTTTCAATGAGGGTGGGTGGAAAGGGAGGAGGGGAGAAAATTTGTAACCCAAAGTTTTAAAAACACATGTTAAAAATAAAAAAATTTTTTAAAAATTAAAAAAAAAAAAAAGAAATTATCAAGAACACTTCCCTTATATTCTAGAACCAGAGGGTAAAATAGAAATTAAAGAATCCACCAATCACCTCCTGAAAGAGATCCCAAAAGGAAAATTCCCAGGAATATTATAGCCAAATTCCAGAGTTCCCAGGTCAAAGAGAAAACATTACAAGCAGCCAGAAAGAAACAATTCAAGTATTGTGGAAACACAATCAGGATAACACAAGATTTAGTAGCTTCTACATTAAGGGATCAGAGGGCTTGGAATATGATATTCCAGAGGTCAAAGGAGCTAAAATTAAAAACAAGAATCACCTACCCAGCAAAACTGAGTGTAATCAATGAAAGGGGAAAAAATTGACATTCAATGACATAGAGGAATTTAATGCATTCTTGAGAAGCCAAAGCTAAATAGAAAAACTGACTTTCAAATACAAGACTCAAGAGAAGCATGAAAAGGGAAACAGGAAAGAGAAATCATAAGGGACTTATTAAAGTTGAACGGTTTACATTCCTACATGGAAAGATCATATTTGTAACTCATGAGACCTTTCTCATTATTAGGGTAGTTAGAGGGAAGATATATAGACAGAGGGCACAGGATGAGTTGGAATATGAAGGCATGATATCTAAAAAATTAAGGGAGAGAGGAATGTACTGGAAGAAGGAGAAAGGGAGAGGTAGAATGGGGTAAATTATTTTGCATAAAAGAGGCAAGAAAAAACTTTTACAGTGGAGGGGAAGAGCGGGGAAATGAGAAGAAATGAGTGAACTTTACTCTCACTGGATTTGGCTTAAGAAAGGAATAAAATACACACCCAATTGAGTATGGAAATCTATCTTACCCTATAGGAAAGTAGGAGGGAAGGGGATAAGAGAGGGAGGGGTGATAGAAGGGAGGACAGATTAGGGGAGGGAGTAATCAGAAGCAAACACTTTTGAAAAGGGACAGGGACAAAGGAAAGAATAGAATAAATGGGGGCCAGGATAGGATGGAGGGAAATATACTTAGTCTTTCACAACAGGACTATTATGGAAGTGTTTTGCATGAATGCATATGGATAGCCCATGCTGAATTGCTTGCCTTCTCAACAGGGTGGGTGGGGAGGGAGGAAGGGAGAGAATTTGGAACTCAAAGTTTTAGAAATGAATGTTAGAAATTGTTTCTGCATGCAACTGGGAAATAAGATACACAGGCAAAGGGGTATAGAAATCTACCTTACCCTACAGGAAAATAGAAGGGGAAGGGGATAAGAGAAGGGGAGGGTGGTTATAGAAGGGAGAACAGACTGGGTGAAGGAGGAATCAGAATGCAGGCCATCATGGGGTGGGGGGAGGGATGGAGAGAAAATTTGGAACTCAAAATCTTATGGAAGTAAATGTTGAAAACCAAAAATAAAAAAATTAAATTGAAAAAAAAAAAGAGCGGTAAGAGTCTCTGAGGAACAGCTCAGATTCCTGACAAAGGAAGAAATCAAGAAAAGATAAGTTCTTCCTTTTTGTGGTACTTGCTAATGCAAGTGTTCTTAAGTTATTTTTCTCTGTTCCAAGTATAGCAGCATCAACTGGGATCATATAACAGCAGACAACTTTTAGTTTTCTCAGCATTCTTAATCTGGGCTTTGATCAATCTCAGTTTCAAATGATTAATTATCCCAAACAGAAGACTGAAACTGCCAATAATTCAAAAAACGAAGGAATTAATTTTTACTGATTACCAACCAGACATACAGTGTTGTATTTATGTTATTCTAAAAGCAATTCAGACATTATGCTCATTTCACATTTCTTGTTACTAGTCATACCTGTCTGTAGAAAGCCTACTTGCTTTAATTCTTCAATCGCTGATGATAAATCTTGACCAATCTCTCCATAATCTATCTTGTTAGTTTTTATCCAAACTTGCTTGCGTTGAAAAAGTCTTACATATAACTTCTGCCCACTTGCTACAGTGATTAAAAGGGAAAAAATATTAATTTTCTTCATAAAAATGACTATTATAGATTTAACAATAGCAAGCATTTATATAGTAACTACTATTTGCCAGGTACTCTGCTAAATGCTTTATGAATACTCATTTGAACCTCACAAGCACTGTCAGAGGTAGGTGCTATTATCCATTTTACAGGTGAGGAAACTGAGAGAAACAGAGGTTAAGTGACTTGCTCAAGGTCACACAGCTAATAATTGTCTGAGGCTTTGAACTCAGATCTTCCTAATTCCCACGTCCAGTACTCCCTCTATTGTGCCATCTAGACTTCCATTATTTTGCAGGAGTGTACATGCAAATATGATCTTTGAAGTGAAAATGTTTACAAGACTGAATTAAAGTACTTCTTCTAAGAAATCTTTCATCTCTTTTTGGAAGAGATGACAGGATGAGAGGGTTTTGAGTCAGAAAGGAAGTTAGAGATCATGGGCTCCAACTCTTTTTTTTTTTGGTGAGGCAACTGGGGTTAAGTGACTTGCCCAGAGTCACACAGCTAGTAGGTGTTACGTGTCTGAGCCTGGATTTGAAGCTGCCCCCCAACTCTCTTATTTTACAGATGATAAAATTAAGGTTTTTTATTTCAGATTGAAAGAATTTGTTTTTAAGAAGGAATATATTGTATTCAGATTAAAATGAGTCTCCTTGGGAAACATCATTGAGCATAGTGGATAGGGCACTGTACCTTAAGTTAGGAAGATAAGGGTTTAAGTCCTGCTCTGTACATTTACTAGCTGTTTGATTTTGGGCAAGTCAATTAAAACTCCTCAGCCGAATCACCTATAAAATGAGAGTATTGGATGTGATGGCCTCAGAAGTCCTTTGAATATTTATGATTGCATTCCCCATTTGACTATTTCTGAATTCCGAGAATTGAGTGAAGTCACTATATCGTAAGCTAATCCCAACCTCTCCTTGCCTGCTGCTATTTTCCTTGAAAGGGATCTTTCTGACTCATAAAATGTTAAGCTAGTGTTCTTTGCCTAAACAACTGCTAAGTTACAATACAGTCTAAAATTATAACAAGAATCTTTCTTTTCAACTCTGCCACTAAACTAAGAAAAGTCAATTCTTTCCTACAAAAACTAAAAAAGAAAAAAAAATCCCATTTTTAAAACAGGACCTTTAAAAACTCAACTACAGTTACTTATGGCATGTAATTAAGTTCTTTCAATACAAAACACTCAGAACATACAAACATTACTATCCTATTATACAGCTTAATCTTCTAATTTCAAGTACAGCTTATCATAGGGGTACTTAAACTTTTATATCTTAGACCCCTTTGGCAGTCTGGTTAAGTCTATAGAACCTTCCTCAGAATAATGGGGTTGTTTTTTTTTTTAAATTCACAATTGACAGAAATGCTAGGTGTCAGATGTTAGTGAAAATAAAGATGTAATTGTTTTTTCCTATCCAAGTTCATGGATCCTTGAAATCTATCCAGAGACTCAAATTGGGCTATTACAAACTTACCTTCAATTTTTATAGGAGTCCAAACCAAAACTGAACTGTTGTTTGTTTTTTTAATTGTTAGATTAGATATTCGTTTAATATCTAGATATTAGATTTTATTAGACAGTCTAACTAGATTAGATTTTTGTCCATGAGAAAAATTCATAAACTAAAGAAATGACTAGTTTTGAACAAGCATTGTTCTAGGAATCAGGATATCCTAGTTGTAATCTTAATTTTTTCACTAACTAGTTTGCAATCTTGGCACGTCACATTTTCTGGGCCTTGGTTTTCTCATCTGCAAAATGAGGTTAAACTATATGATCTCTAATGTTTTTTAGAGCTCTAAGATTCTATAACCTACATAGCAATTAACCACATTCCTTTCTTATTTTTATAAAAGCAACAAAAACAATTAGCAATGGATTTCAAATAACACAAAGAAATATGATTATAAAAGATTTGCCTTTGAGAGAGGTGCATAAGAACTAAACATGTAGAAGTTTCATTAGGGAAAATGATCACACTTCTGAATTATAATGAAGCACATAACCCATTAATTATTCAAACTGAATTCATGACAATTCTCATTAATTCAGTCTGAACTAGACAGTAGAATTCTGAATATTCTTGATAGGATAGTAAACTTGACATCATTATGTCCTTTCTTCTATTTTAAGTAAAAGAAAGAAGCAGAGAGGGATGCAGGGTAGATAATATTCCCCAAAGAGATGTTTTTACATGCTAAGATATAAAATAACTAGGGAACACTAAAATGATCACCACACAGAGACCTACAATAGAACTCTTGCTCATCTGCAAGTTTTAAACGTTATTATAAACCCTTGCTCATCAGCAATATTTAAATGTTATTAGCCACTTGTATGGTATCTATGTAAATGTAGGTAACCTGTATGCTAGAGGCTAGCAAGGCCAAAGTCAGCTTTCTGCAACTCTAGTGAGATCTCAGTTTCCTGTAGGCATTCCTTTTATGTAACAAATCTTAAAGTGACTTTTCCTTCAAATTTGGACTATTCAATTCTAGATATAACTGACTTCCCATGAAGAGAGGCAGGTTGTAAGTTTTAAAAACTTACTTTTATTACTGTTATGACTCTGTACTTTCCATTTCTTTTTCATCTTTACTTGAGAATAAGTCCAATGGTCCATGCAACTAATATAATACTTGCAAAAGGAGGAGAGTAAAAAAAAAAAATAGCAAACTTCTCCCCAACTTTTTTTTCTTGCTAAACAACAGAACGTATACTTTTCTAAGATTGCTCTATTTTTTTTAAAACGTGAGTCTGTTTTACATCAAACGTTTTATATCACTTAATAAAATGAACTTTCATTATAACCACACTATCATCTATAAGATACTGCAATACCATAGAATTAAGTATTATTAGATACAAAGACATTCCCTTACATATGAAGTCCTATAGTCAAGAACTTGTTAATAAATAAGCTATCTTAAGAAGCTACCATCTATTACATAAATTTACTTTTGTTGTGATTCTGAAAGTACAACTACATTCAACTAACAGACACAAGGTAGAAGCCAGCACAACTGAAACAATTCTTTCACACAAGAGGAAACAGTCTTTTGGTTTTCTCTCTTTGGATACCTGATAGTTTATAAAACTTTGTTAAGATTTCCATATCCTGTTCATCAAAGAGCTTCAGATCATCTTCATTCTCAAAAACTGCTTTTAGTACCGTAAGAAAATTCCTAAGATAATACGGATGTTCTGAAAAATCAGAGGTCAAGTCCAAGTTACCACTACCCTGATTTACTTCTTCTGATTCATCATCAGCTGGCTCCAATTCTTCACAGGGCTCCAAAAAACCAGAATCATGAATGATTTCATTTTTTAAGTCAATGTGACCGTCCTTCTGAAGTGTTCTTGTGTTATCCTTTTCAGAATAAGTATTTACAGGACTATTACATTTCATACCCAAATTAGTTGGTGTGAAAGTATTTTGGGGCCTCTGAGTTTGGCCTTCTGAGACAGCAGTCATTATTACTTGATTATATCCAGTTGATTGTACTATACCCTCTCTACTTTTGCTACCCACAACTTCAAAATTCTTCTCTGTGTTAAGAATATTCTCTGAAGTTGACAATTTACTACTACAAGTTTTTTCTATAAAATCAAGTGTGGGTAATGATATTTCACATTCTTGGGTATCAGTCTGACTTTCATTTTCTAATATTTCTGTGTCTTCTAAGGTATATTTAGAAGCAGTACTTTCTTTATCAAGGCATCCAAAAGGCTTTTCAGAAACAAAAATATTTTCCTTTTGAGATCCACTTCCCAAAACCTGATCTTCATCCCCATCTGTGGCACAGTTGGCTTCTACTTGATTAACAATTAGAGGCATCAAACTTTGTGTCCTCAGAACTTCATGTTTCTCTAGTTTCTCATTTTTAGCTACCAATTTTCTAGCTTCTGCGTATCGTCTGGACAATTTTGATGACAGGCTTCCTAAGGGAATAATTTTCACTGTCTGATGTTTCAACTCTTCTCCACAGCTGCTTACTAAATTACCACTGTTCTTAAAGTATGGACTAGTTTTCTGTATCTTATCATTTTTTGCAGAATCACTTTTGATGGGGCTCAAATTTATCTGTGAAGGTAAAGATTGCTTTGAAGGTGTATACCCTGAGGCTGTTTTGGCTAAATTACCTGGAGATAGATTTGGATTTACTGAGCTTTCAAATTCTGCCGTATCAATTTTAATTACTTCATACTTGTTCTGCTGACACATTTCATCAATATGCCTATTTAAGTCATATCTTGGCACCATTTGACCACAGATAGGACAAGCAAGTTTGGCTGGGGGCACACTGTTAAAAAATGAAATAACAGAATTGGATTTGAATAGCCCTTTTTTAGCCCTGGTTTCATTCTTTTGATTTTTACTTTTTGACAAACTTTTACGAGGTCTTTTTCCTTCAGGAGATTTGTCTGACATTTTAAGAACAAGAAATTATACAACACATGTTGCTTCATAAAAAAGAGAGTAATGTTGACGTTCTAATTCCAAAGTGATAAAAATTGGAATTGTTTTGTTTCACGTTCTTTGCCTGGACAATTTCTTCTTCCTACAAGTAAAGAAAAGACTTATTAGAAACATCTAGTAATTTAACAAAAGGAAAGAGATGAAAAAAATCAAATGTTTTAAACACTGAATGGCTTAGAGGAAGGCCACTAGATAGGAGATAGAAAATTCTGCCTTTAGCCCCTAGTCTCATTCTGCCACCTACTAGTTGGCAGAAGTTGTGTGACTTCAGCAGTCTCTTTACCTAAGATTTTCTTTTTTAAAAAATATTTTTATTTCTTTTGTTTTTCTATCACCTGGATTTCCTCCAGCATTCCAACCCTTCCTTCCTCCCAGCGAGCATCCTTTATAACAAATAATTTTTTAAAAGAAAAAGAGGAAGAGAGAAAAATTTAGCAAACCTGATCAACAACACATTGAAAAAAATCTGTGTACCTCCTACATCTGCAAAGGAGTCAGAGGTAGTAAGACCTATTTTCTTATTAGTAAGAATGAGCTGGCCTGGGTGATCTCTAATATTATTTCCAATTCTAAAATTTAATGATCCGAGATACGAAAATCAAATTGTAAAAACAGGTGGCTTATTTGAAAGTTTTAAGAACCATAAACTGTTTCATTATATCATTAATATTTCTAAACTAAAACTGCATGATCATAATCAACAGGAACATTCTCTTTACATACCACAAATCAGTCACATAGACTTTCCCAAAAACTTTTCTTCTGTCCATTCTTTGGAACAGCACTGATGTAAAAGAGGAAATAAGAAATTTTTATTTTTCTTGCTCATGTTAATCTAGAATCCTTGTAAAAGCTTCCTGGTACAGCCTGCAGAACTGAAAGGTAGAAAGAGATGATCAGATATGAGTATTCTGTCCCCAGAATCCAGATAGCCCAAAGTATCCAAAATACTAATAGCTACACTTAACTATTCCTCTGAGTTCTCATACAATTAATTCTTACATAGGAATTCAGACTCCATAGGATGACTAAGAAAACAGGGTTCACAGTAATTTTGAATATTTCTCTAAATTAAGACACTCTTCTGGTCAGAGATGCAATCCTTTTCCTTTCTCATGTCAGCGAGGTGGCTAGGAGGCACAATGAGACCCAACTTCAAATCTACCCTTACTAGTTGTGTGATCATGAGCAAGTCACTTAACCTGTCTGCCTCAGTTTCTTCAACTGTAAAATGGGAATAGCAGCACCTACCTCCCAGAGTTGTGAGGATCAAATCAGATCTTAGCACAGTGCCTGGCATATAGCAGGGGCTTAATAAATGTTTATTGAACTGAACCAGCACATAGGCTTAATAAATGCTTTCTGACTTAACAAGAGAGCTAAATAGTTCCTTGTGTATACTTCCCTCTACTTCCAGTCGGGAAACATACCAAATATGTCTTTTTGCATTTACTCATTTGTATGAATGTTGTCTTCTTCCAGTAAAATTCAAGTTCCCTAAGCGAAGGGATTCCTTAATTTTTGTTTATTTCCCTAAGGACAAGCATACAGTAAATGTTTAATAAATGTTTATGGATTGACAGTAAGCTCGGAGCTGGACTCGGCCTAGTGGTCATCAAATTCAGCTTCATTTTACAGACAAGGAAACTGAGGATCAAAGAGGTCTCTCAGTTAATAGGCACGTGTAACACAATTCGAACCCAGTTTTGCTGACTCCAAATCCAGCTCTCTAAGCCCTACTCTACCTACCGGGTCTAGGTTGTATTGACTTATCAGGGTACGTATTGTCTCCCCGCCCCTCCCCCCAGCAGAGGGTAAACTCCTTGAGGGCAGGCATTGCTCCATTTTTGTCCGTCTCCCCCAGCCCAGCACAGAACAAAACACACAGCAGAGTCCTGCAAAGGCCCAGGATAATTACAAAAGCGCTGGGGGAGAGGCAGCCAAGCGGGTGGGGAGTGAGGTCGCCCGGTCCGTGTGCTCCCATCCCCCCATCCCGAGCTGCACACGGTCTCCTAGAACGCGCCCGATGCGCGCGCACCTCCCACTACTCCCCCCCCAATCCCTCCCGCCCCACCCCCCCGATCTGTCGCGAGGGAGGGGGCGATGAATTCTCCAAAAGCGCCGGGGTTAGAAGGGCCCGGAATCATCCGCCTTCTGCCTCGCGGTTTCCCTTTTCTCACCTGGTTCCGCGCTCCAATGCTCCCCAGACATCCTCAATCTATCTCTCTCTGGGCACCTTCGGCCGCGCAGGCACAACAGGAGGAGCGTCGAGCGATCGATCCCTTTTAAACCTTGGGTTGCAGGCTGGAGTTTTCCATTCCAGGTCAGCTGAAGAAAGTGTTCTGGTGACTGTCCTCTCCCTCTTCCTAAACAGCTGGGTGGGGCAGTGGATGGAGTGATGGGCATTTAATCCGGAAGACATAAATTCAAATCCAGCCCCAGCAAATGTAAAATGTCGGGATGACAATAATAACACCTACTTTCGGATTAAATGAGGTATTTGTAAAGTGCTTAACATAATAGGCCCTTAATAAATGCTTGTCTTACCTCGAGGTAATGAGTGCTTCGTACAGAAAAATATTCAGGCTGGACCTGGAGTTTAAATCCAGCCTCAGACACTTACAAATTGTGTTACCCTGGGCTAATCACTTAGCCTCAGTTTCCTCTGCTGTGAAATGGGGATAATGCTAGAATCTATCTCCAGGGTTGTGTGGATAAGATAAGCTATTTGTAAAGCGTTTCTTTCAACCTTAAAGCACTATATATGCCATGTATATTTTGTCCAAATACCACTCAGATATCCATGGCAGACCTAAGGATCACCTTCACTGCCTTGGGTTTGTTTTGCTATACCCTTTCAAAGTTGCTTGGGGTCCCGGATTTGAACATAGTCCTTTAGGGGATATCTCTACTTTACAGGTTTGTTTGGAGGATCAAACTAAGCCAAAAAATGTTTCCCAAGTGCTATGGAAGCGATCGCTAGTAGAGCTAGGCAGAATCGCTCATCAAGCCTGGCTTCCTAGCTCAGGGGTCTCCCAGGCTTGTACCTTAAAGGGGAAAGCAAAACCTAAACTTTTCTGCTTTTCACCCAAGTTTCAACATTACCTATTCTAACTAGAAACTTTTTAGTTCAGCTTGTTTAAATAAAGGCTGTGGCCCAACATTATCACGCTTATTTATAGTGGCAGCTAGTGGCTCAGCAGAAGTTGGACCTGGAGAAAGGAAACCCTGAGTTCGGATATGACCTCAGACACTAGCTGTATGACTGTTTCTTAATCTTTCAGTTTCCTAAACTGTAAAATGGAAATAATAGCACTTTCCTCCCAGGATTATTGTGAGAATCAAATGGGATATCTGTATTAGCACAGAGGCTGGCATATCATAGGCACCATTTAAATGCTTATTCCTTTCCCTCCAGACTCCTTTTTAACAGCATTGGAGAGGTTCTGCTGAGAATCAGCTTTAATATCAATTCAAACTACAGGTGTCTCCTGTACATTCCCTCCAGATCAGATTGTCAGAACTGTTTTTCATCACTAATCTCCAGTCTCCCTTATTAGAACATATAGGGGCTTACACTTGTAATTGGCTAAATTAAATTAAAACTATGGGAAGATGATGATTTAGATAGCACTACAACAGCCTACTTTTCCAATAGACTGCCACCCTGCTTTTAATTCACTTTCTTTTTTCAGTTCCCTCTGTTGTTACTCATTATCTTGTCCTCTATTGATCCCAAGTATGGATCGCTAACTGGTTTAATTTAGACCCCTCCAGGTTCAGGTGAGAACCCAACAATTTTGAAAACAAGGCAGTTTTCAAATCTATGAACTGAAACCTTCCCCAATAAAGTGCTCCAGAAGTGCATTCAAAGGGGAATAAAAAAAAAAAAGATTTTTGAAAGTGCAAAAACCACTCCTTGGTCATTCCCCCATCATGATCCCCATGTAAGTAGATTTGTGCTTTTCCAAAGCTATAGACTGTATTGCCTTGATCAATGATTTTGCACATGTCTACCATTAATTAAAGGCAAGTCTAGGTGAAGGTGTGGATGCATCAGTACAATACGTCACACTACTTTAAAAAAAAAATCCCAATTTTGATCATTTTATTGACCAGTAAAATAGTTTCATCTACAAAATGCCATCAATTTTGTACATCACCTCTAATCTCACCACCAGGTATGTTACTAACTCTGGCTTTAATTAACACCACCTCCCTCAGCCTCTCCCCTTTAATTGGAGGGTCCAGAGGGCAGAGTACCAAACTCCTCCCAAAGCTTTCCTTTAGAGAGGGCAGAAACTGGACTCTCAGCTCACTCCACTCTGCTGCTCCGCCTGGTTTCAAATCCAGGCAACAAGCTGCCCAACTGCCAGGAATCCCCTGGTGTCCTCCCCTCCTTGTCCTCCCACCCTGCTTTCCTGACTCCTTTTGTGTAGTTGTTCCCCCACCCCCCATTAGATTGTAAGCTCCTTGAGGGCAGGGATTATCTTTTTATTACCTGTATCCTCAGTGCTTGGCACAGTGCCTGGCACATAGTAGGGACCTGATAAATGTTTAATGGATTGGAAGCATCACTGCTTCACAAACATCTACAGGTTTAGTCTTCAAAACTTAAGAAACCACAAATATTTGCTATGAAGAAAAGAAAAATATATCCAAAATTTTATTAAGAAACAGGATGATGAAATCAGTATTTGCTTAGTTTAACATTTACATTATGATAAAATATGTTACAGCTTGAGTTTATGAACAGAAATTTCTTTTTTCTTCTTCTGCTTTTTTTGTGTTTTCTTGGCATCCTGTATTTGCATTTTCACTTGATCTTGTAATTGAGAAAAGAATGCTTGAGATGACTTCAAGGCCTTGTCTTTACCTTCATCCTGCAATAGGAAACAAAGCATGTATAAAAAGTATTTCTACAAAATAAAAGTTTCTTTTTTTACTTAATTGAAGGCGTATTAAAGGTCATGTAAAAAGTCATATACCTACACCCTAATAATAAATTCCTTTTTTTTTGATGGAGTTGCTACAGTATAATTTCTAAATATGGTGGATTTCTTTCTTGCTCTCATATATGTCTCCCGCTATTCCCCAACAAAAGAATTAGGCAAGCCATCACTACCACCAGAAATATAAATAAAAGCAAACACCAGTGAGTAGCTGATCTTACTTTGCAGACACAGAATAGGCTGTTATTTGTTTCAGGAAAGTAGGTTCATATAAACACAGCAATTTCAATATAGGAATCCAAATTTCATCAATTCTCAGTCTAAAACATTGAGAAATAAGTGTATGCAAGTGGGGGCATAGAAAGAGGCTATAAAAAGTCAATAAATTCAGCTTCTAAGTATTTAATCACTTTACTCTCTGAATCAAACACCAATAAACACTAAAATAAATAAATTTTGTGCTATATGAAACTGATCTTTTGTAGCTAGTTCTTTCTTTTAATTCAGTGACATGTTTTAGTGCAATTTTTCTTACAAGGAAGGAATAATTACAAACAATAAGGCCTGAAGGGCAAAAGAGCTGTACTAAGTTTTCAAAAAAATATTTGAAACAAAATATAACCAACCTAGCATGGTGAAAGTCGTAATTTAAGTCAATCAACAATCTACCTAGATTGCTACATCATCAATTATTCTGTTATAGCATATGCTGATTATATAATTAGAACTAAAAAGGAACTTAAATGCCATTGAAACTGACTCACCCAATAGAGGCAAAACGAATTGAAGCAAATATGTATTAAGGTCACCCAAACACAGCAGTCATCTTGACATATACTTTTACACAAATGCTCTCATTTAAAAAAAAAAAGGTATTTATGTTTCTAATCAGTCATATTCAGCCATGCCTTACCTTTAGTATAGAAGCTTTGCCTGCTTTAGTTAGTTTCTTTAATTGTGCAGATGCTTCTGCTTTGTCGTATTTTGTAGACTGTTCAGGCTTAGTTTTTGCTAACATTTTTTGCCGTTTTTCCTTTTCTCTTAATTTCATACGCTTACGATATTTCTTCTTTCTTCGTTCTCGTTTCTTGTCTGTGACAGATTTCTCTGCATCTGTTTTTATGTCCCCTGCCTTATTTTTCTCCTATAAAAACAGAAACAATACCTTTCATTCACCCTAAAAATTCAAGGAATAAGTAGAATCAAGTAATCTCATTTTACAGAAAAAGAAACTAAAATACAGTGATAAGAGCCTCATAATTCCAGAACAAATCAGTGACATAAATCTGATACGACATGTAGGCAGTCTTCCACATTATTAATGGACACATTCCAAAAGTTACTTTTAAAAAATTTATTTTTGAAAATATGAAGCACATTTTTCCGTGGAAACAATAAAATAAATTGGAGTTGGGCTCCCGGGCTGACCCACAATGTAGCTGAACTGTGATGATAATCAGTAAATCACTATCTATAATATATCAGTGGGAAAACATGCTTAAAATTCCAAATCAGGATACAATCTCAAAAGTAAGGATCAACCACATGCAGCTTCAAAGATGAAGTTTTGATAGAAGGACATGGGAACCAACAGCTGAAAACAGGATTCATAGTATCATAGATCTAGAACTTTAAAAGATTTTAAAGACCCTAATTTTGCAGTAAGAAAACTGAGGCCTAAGGAGGTTATGTGATTTGCCGAAAGTCACATCGGTAATAAGTGGCAGAGCTGGGATCTGAAGTGGTTTTTTTTTGATGCATGTAGGACCAGGGCTTGTGATGGAATGGAGCAAAGACCACCATCCCTCTGCCACATAGGCAAGGAATGGGAGTGAGAGTGCAGAGACAATGAGAATGGACTAGTTTCTTGGGCAGAGGCCAGCAGGACAGGTAACTCATTGTCTGAAGCAGCCATTCAAATATATAAAATATTTGTACATAAAAGAGATTACCTACATATATATATCTAGTATATCCAACTTTTAACCAGATTTTCTAATTCCATTATTAATGCCAGATTCCATTGTTAATAAAAGTTAAAAGGAAAAAAAAATCTCCTGGTAGATTTTTTTTACCAATGCAGTTGGCATGGGGTTATTTAGAATAATTTTTGTTATTGAAACGTAACAAAAAAAAGAAAGAAAGAAAGAAAGGTAACATCACAGATACAATTAAAATTGTATCTTTTTTTCCCTTGGTTCAGACCTGTGGACTCGGCTATCTTCTGTCTTCACTGACACAGATTAGTAATGCGCATTACTAAAGAGTTGCCAGAAACCCTGAGAAAATAAGTGACTGGCTTATAGTTACACAGCCTACCCTATATCAGAGGCGGGGCTTGAATAGGTCTTCCTGGTGCCAAGGCTGGCTGTCTACATACTATGGCTGTCCATATACTACAACTGCTGCCTCTTTATTAGTCTTTTAGGCATTTATGTACCATTTGATTTCTACTAGCTGCTTTTTAACCCTTTTCTATTCCTCTTGATAACCAGGAAAAAAAAAAGATTAAGATTTAAAGTTTAAATATTATATCACAATATTATCTGTGTGAACATCCCTAGAAAGGACAATAATGATGACATTATCATTATAGACATATAATCTACTATATAAACCTTCCCTTCACAAAGGAAATAAGCAAAAAACACATTCAAAAGCACAAATACCTAAATTACAAATGTGTAATTTATAAAACTGCATGTTCTCAATATTTGCTTCTTACCTTGATTTCCTCTGGAGCTAGGAGTGCTGCGTCACTAACATGTACTGGCGCTACTTCCTCCATAGTTATAGCAGGAAGATTAGAGACAATTTTAACCTCCGGAACAGGCTAGAAAATGAAATAACAGAAAATAACATTTTAGGAATCACTCTGAAAGTACAGAAGAGTAGTTACAATGTTATTGATCTGAAATCTTGTAAGGCATATGTGATGTAATGAAAATATACGTAAATGAAATAACATTCAGGTTAAATACTTTGATTACCTAAACTTCAATATGATCAGATCAAAATGGTCCTGATGAAATAATTGTGAAGTCATCACTTTTTGGAGACCTGCCCAAAGCCCATTTTTAGGAGGGAAAAGGAAAATCTAAGACATTACAGTCTTCAGATCCTGATGAGGTTTGTTAAGGAGGATATGAGAGATGACAGCTGACATCAGAGATCAAAGAAATATAGATTTAGAACTGGAAAGGACTTTAGAGGCCATCTAGTCAAGCTCTCTCATTTTATAAGTGCGTAAACTGAGGACCAATCAGTTTAATTTTGATATCTGAAAAAATGCCAGAATACATTTATCAATTTGCAAATACTCAAAAACAAACAAGAGAGTGGAAAGCAACCAAAAGGCAAACTTACTTTCTCTTACAACAGAAAGACATTATAAATGGGATCACACATTTTGCTTGGTCCAAGAGGTAAGAAGAAAGATGAATGAATGCACATGACAGGGAAGCAAATGAAGAATCTGAACATAAGGAATAAATTCCTAAAAACTAAAGCTATATGAACATGGAATGGGCTCCATCTTGAGACTGAGCATTATCACTACAAGTGTTTAAACAAATGCTAGTTAGGGACATCACTCACAAGAAGTGTCATAAGTGTCGAATCTAGGGAACACTTTGAGGAAAGCTGGGCCTTTGGATTGACAAAAAGTTAGATGAGTGGAATGGAGAGGTAAAAACACACAAGAATGAGCAAGAGCACAGTGTTAGGGAAAGGTAACAGGCACACTGGTGAGTAATACATGGTAACAAAACAGAGGCAAGGAAGCGGGGCAGTGAGCAGCAGTGGGATGTGAAAGGCAGGTAGGAGTTAGATTGTACAAAGTTCTGTGTATCAGACTAAGGAGCAAGTCATCTACAATTCACAAGAATCTTAAATCCTAATATACTTACAGGCTTAGGTGTAAAATGAAAGTCAGAAAGAGCATCCAGTTTTTGAAAGAGTGAATCCATCATCTTCTGAATTTCTACATGCTCTGGGTTTTCTTCTTCTTCTTTCTTTTCCTAAGATAATGAATTCGGTAACAAATCTCAGAACACAACAGTACCTGAGGATAGTTCCATTGTCCTAATAACAATTTTGGGCTTTTGTTTTAAGGGGCCCTTTAGGAGGCCCATTAACTGCTACATATAGACTGCCATCTGGTATCTAATTGCAAGTTATCTCTTTCGAAAATAGAGAATGTTACTGAATTTGACAATAGTTCACAAATTTCTCTATTTTCTCTACTGAAATCATTACCACAGTAAGGTCAGAGTGTCTCAAGTATGACTAGATAAGAAACAAACAGGAAGGTGAATGGCTATTTGCCTCCATGCTCTAACTCCAAATCATGACCCCAGTCGCTCTCAGTCGCTAAAACTTTAAAGAAGACTAGAATGGCTCAAGGACTAAATTGGAGTTTGGGCCTATTCTAGGAGGGAGGTGGGGAAGCTCAACTAAACCCAAACCCCAGATTAACTCCTGAGTAGACACAAAATTCTCTACCAGCTCCAAATTATAGAATGCCTTCAATCCCTACCAAATCTAGTAAACTTTCCCATTCCCAAGCAAAATCTGAACATTCTGCTAAGAAATTATATAATGAGAATTCATTCAGTTAGTATTTACTAGAATCACAAGTATATGACCTATCTGGTTAATTAATGAAGTTTTCTTTACATAATTCCATTTAGGTGTGTGTGGGGGGGAATCCCATATTCCATAGGAATAAGTTCATTTGGCTTGTTTTACAAACAGTATGCCAATTTTAAAAGTACCATTGAAAAGTTACAATTATAGATAAATAATATTGTTGTAACAATAAGATAGTTTCACTTATCCTAGGAAATTTGAAAAATAAAACCCTATTAAAAAGTATTTCTATTATCTCTCAGAAAACACCTTCAATAAAAATGTTATTTTTCTACCCAATTTAACTGGGTAGAAAACCTACCCAATCTAAACCACTACAAGAACGAAAAAGAAAATTCGTGAAAAGCCCTACTTTCTTTCTTTAATAACAAAGGATTTGTGCTACAAGGTTTCTTACCTGGTTAAGTTTGAGGTACTCCTGCTCATAAATTTCTGCAAGGCTCAATTTACTCTTTTCATGATCTAATGTTAAACGCTTCTTATATTCAAATGCCTCCTCCTTTGGTTTTTCTTTACGTACTACATCATCCCAAGCCTAAAAAATAAATAGGGGAATATCTTAATTCAATAATTTTATATTATGGTATAGCCTTCCTAAATTTGCAGGGAATATATACGAGGGAACAATTCATTTCTAAAACATGACTGTTTTACTGTGTTTCAACAGAAGCAAAAATAAATTCTTCCAAGATGTTAATAATACTTGTGCATAAAATACTATTAACACTCAGATTTCCCCATGAGAGCTTATTTAACATAAAGCCTGCCATGAAAAAACAACAACAACAAAAAATAATCAAGTATACTTTGTAAAGGGAAGAAAAAGTATTTCTTATACATTTTACATTAGGGAAGCAAAGATAGGTGAAGGGACATAAAGCTAGTTAAGCTTTATTTAAATGGTCCCAGAATAAGACCAATTAAATAAAACTTTTATTTACTAAATATAAAATGATCAGGTTATAAGATGTGTCTAGAGCAAGGATCCCTATGCTGTCTACTATAATCAGACTGATTTCAAAGTCCAATAGATGTCACTATCCACTCTTTCCCTAATGACATTATAGGGAGGAAACATATGGCTTCTAACCACATCCTGCTCCTTGTACCTCCTCAAAATTTAAAATATCAGCAAGGTATCAAAGCATGGAAATGGCTTGAACTGTTTCTCCTCATTTCACTCCACCCACACTAATCACAAAGAAATGAATGAATCTCCATAATAAAAAAGGTTGTAAAACCTTGTCTAAACTCAAATTTTTAGTGAAAAGTATATAAAAATATTTGAGAACTGTTAAAATAAACAAAAAATAAAGATCATTGCTCCAATCAACATTCAAAGAATCTTATATTCATTTCTGGAAATGTCAGTGCTATAAATGCAATCTCATTAACCTGATCTTTTATTCTTTGTTTGATGATATCCTCAAGTTGCAAAGTGGTTTCCTCAGTAATCACAGGTGCTACAAAAAAGAACATTAAATAGATTATTAAAATAATAAATATTTAACAACAATGCACTATTATTTTTAAAAATATCTCAATACCCACGCAGAGGTCCTTTCTATTGATCACAACGCCTTAGAAAAAGCAAAAGTCTTGTACCAGGACTGTCTGAACTAAAAATAAGTCCAAGCCGACTTTAAATCAACTGATGGAAGAAAGAGAGTCTACAGCAGGAGTCAAGTGAGTTGGACTATAGTTGATTTTGCTACTTTCAAGCTATAAAACTGTAGACTCTGGGCTTCAATTTCCTTGGCAATTAATAGGATAGCAATTAATAGATGGGAATACCACTTGCCCTGCCATCCTTAAAAGGTTCTCATGAGAATGAAACAGCAGTTGTGAAGGTACTTTTAAAAATTAAAGATCACTACACAAGATTTGTAAAATGCTATTTCCATTAACTAGTATAAAAGGTGTGACAAAAGTGAGACCTCTATCTGACCCCCGCAAAACCTATCCCCAAATAGCCAGAAAAGCATTTTTTCATGTGTGTACGTATATATGTGTGTGTATGTATGTAGTATGTATATTATCTTCACATAGGTGGTGTTTCTCAAGCTAATCACCTTCACAGACTATTCTATAATGCTGTCATTGTTTAAAACATTAAAAAAAAATTTGTTGGGGGAATTTCTGTTAGAGTCAACTTAAGAATCATTCACAATACATATTTTTTTTTTTATTACCCAACTTAATGACTTTCCTCATTCTCCTTGTGAAGATTCAAATGACTTTTGGCTATTTCCAAAAATCAGATTCATGTTCAAATGACAAGGATTTGACATCACTGGGGATCTTAAAGAATGTGACATAGGCTCATGGACAATTTTAAAAGAGGCTCCAAATATGTTTTAATTAGAATTACCAATGTTGTGATGAATACAAAGGATTCTAAAACCTTAAAAATATAAACACTTGCCTAAGTTCTATTTTTTTTTAAAACCAATATACCAGTTATAATATTTTACAATTACATATATCCAAAGCAAAAAACCTATAACATCCCAATGAAGACATTAAATTTTAAATTTGTATTGTCACATTATCAAATTATATATCACAATCTAAATAATTTCCCCTGTTATACAACAAAGAAGTATTAAACTCCAAAGCACAGTTTATCTGTAATAAAAGGCATTTACATAGCGCCTTAAGGTTTGCAATGTGGTTTTCATAAAAAACCATTATCTAATTTGAGCCTCACAGCAACCCTGGGCTAAGCATTACATGTACCTACATTTTTACAGATGAACAAAGTGAGGCTGAAAATGGTTATTTGATTTGCTCAGGGTTACACAGTATTTGAGAAAGGATTCAAACCCAAGTCTTCACGATTTAAAATCCAACACTTTGTCCATATTATGCTGCCTCTTAGTTTAATGTAATATGTTTGTATTTACAGGACAAATGAGCATCATTTTGGGCCATGGTAAGAGAAAGGCAAATTTTCTTCCATATCAGCAACTTCTGGGTCATGAACTAGCCAACCACTCACGCCAGGAGATTCTTCTTGTTGCTTAAGGGGAAATAATGGTGTTTTATGTCTAGAAACCCTACAAATTAGCCACTTACTTCATTCATTCTTTGTTAAGACACTCCTTTCCCCTAAATGTACAGGGCTTTAGCCCTCAGTTATCCTCACAGGCCGATGTCAGAGATTACTAACATAACTGGAGAGTTAGAAGGGACCACACTGGCCACCTACTCCAACATCTCCCTAAAATACCTGGCAAGTAGTTGTCCAGCTTTTACTTGAAGATGTGCAAGGAGGGGGAATCCACCACTTCTTAAACCAGTGCATTCCAATTCTGGATAGCTTTAATTGTAAAGAAGGTTTTTTCTGATATTAACCTTAAATTTGTTTCTTTCCAATCTCTCCTATTGCTCCTGGTTCTTCTATGGGACCAAATGCAGCAAGTCTAATCCCTATCCCACGTGACAGTCCTTCAAATACTTGAAGACATCTCCTCTCAAAATTTCTTCTTCTCCAAGCTAAACACCTCCAATTTCTTCAACTGATTTTCATATGATATGGACTCAAGGTCCTTCACTATCCTCCTATGAATACTCTCCAGTTAAGCAATGTACTTTTTAAGCCATAGTGCCCAGAACTAAACACCGTATCCCAAAAGAGGTCTAATGAGGGCATAGTACAGCAGGGCTATCATCCCCCTCTTCCTGGAATCTATGGCTTTTAATGCAGCCCATGATCATGTTTGCTTCCTTGGATGCCACATCACAGTGCTAACTCACACTGGCCATGCAGTCCATCAAAACTCCTAGATCTTTAACAGAACTATGGTATAACCATGCTTCTCTCATCTTTTACTTATGAAGCTAATTTTTTATACCCAGGTGCAAGATTTATTTCTATCAAATTTTATCATATAAGATTCAACTCAATAAAGCACTGGATCTGGAGTTAGGAAGATCTGAGTTCAAACTCAACCACAAACACTAATTATGTAATCCTGGCAAGTCACTTCGCCCATCTGCTTCACTTCCCTCATTTGTAAAAAGGGGATAGTAATAGCATCTACCTTCCAGAGTTGTTGTGAGGATCAAACAAGACAGTTGTAAAGACTTATTAAATCACTCCCCTGTTTATAGAGGAGGAAGCTGATGCCCAGGGATGTGAAGTAATGCTAAGGTTCACATAGGTAGGATTAAGCATCATTCACTATTTAGAAAATAAATGTTAAATTCCTTATTAAATATTATCTTAAATATGGCACATAAACAAATATCAAAGTACAAAGAATACATTTACCCATCCTGACTGCATGGTCAAAGTGCAATGTTTCTTCTAGAAGGCTGTTTTCTGGTCTTTTTTGTCCTGTCACTTCCCCTTGAAGCTGCCAGGGTTTCTGTTCCAACAACTCTTTCTCTAAAGATTTAATTCTTTCTGCCATCTGAGAATAAATGGAGAAAAATACTTATTTCATTACTTCGTATTTCATTGCACTGGTGGGATAGGCTCCATAAATACTGGCCTCTGAGAGGGGTGGTTGCCAATCTGGGGAAAACTCTCTGAACGTCTAGACCAGGCAATGGACAAGACTGGACCTACTCTATCTTCCCAGCTTGGCAGTATCTACCAGAACTTGTGCAGGCATAGCCTTCAAGACCACATGGGTGACCTCCATGCATTAGAAGAAGACTTCAGTGACTTAAGAAAATATTATATTAATATTCATATAGTAATAACAGATTGCATTTATATACCACTTTAAAGTTTAAAATAACTTTATATACATTTTCTCAACCAACATTAAGAAATGACAAGACACAGCTATTACAAATCAAATGTTTTGCTTCTTTGTACAATATATATTGAGTGTACATTACCTTCTCCTGTCTTTGCTCAAAAGAGGATTTTACTCCATCAGAAGTATTCTTTTCACTGAAAATATCTGTGTCTTTGGTTTCTTTGTCATCAGGCAAAGCAAAGGTTACTCTTTTCCCAACTTCATGTTGTTTATTCTCATTTTCTTCAGTTTCATCATCTTCATCCCTAAACCATCACAACATTTAGCAAAGGAAATACTATTTACATGTATCTTCTGTGAAAGGAAAAAAAATTCTTTTCCAATAATAAAGCTTTTCCATTTTAAATACACCACACCCAACAATCTAACAAGTTTCCTATAGTTTCAAAGTCATGAAAACTTATAAAAACTCAAGAAGGAATCATTTTAAACCAATTTGTACGTAGCTTAAAAAAAAAGAATTCATAATATTCACTTAATATATTAATATTCAACAACATTCATTTAAACAAATATATTCAAATTGCAAACTTACTAGTTCATAATTTCTAATAACTGATGGCATAATGTTGACGTTAGTGATTTTTATTAAAAATAGGAAACAAATCAAAGAACTGTATAGCAAAACTATAAGCTATTATAAAGCCCTCCCTCCTCCCCCATCTACACACTGAGATAAATATGGGTTCTATAGGGTTAAATTAACATCTTACAATAATAAAGTAATACCTTCCTAACTGAAGCATATGACAACTCCTCTTATAACTACACAAAAATTGATGGACAAATTACATTACACAATTTAAAAAGGATGATTCAAAATGCTTACTCTTCAGAAATTTCTTCCTCTTCTTCGAGATCAGTATCCTTATCCTCATCTTCATCTTCATCCTGACCCAGTTCATCATTATCACTTGCTGTGTCTTCACTTTCAACCGGGTCAAAGAAATCTTTGTATTTTAGGTTTCTGGAACTTTTACCTGACTAAAACAAAACATTTAAACCTTCTGCTTAAGGCCAGAAAATGATTTTAAAAGATAAGCTTTTTAAAAGCTCTTTCTACATGCTGAAGATTATTTTCCAATAAAAGTTAAAAACTGAAATTAGCATTTACAAATAAAAGAAAAATACTGCCTGCAGTTCATTCATTTATTTTTAAGCATATAGAAATATTTAAATTTGGTAAGAGAGAACAGAATTCTATATCTCAATATAAGAAAGATCAATTGATAAGCATTTACTGTGTTACACATTAGGAATATAAAAACAGAAATTAAACAGTCTCTGCTCTCAAGGAGCATACAATATATTAAGGAAGACAAAAGGTACATGAGTGTATACGTATATTATGCACATGTACATACAAAATAAATAGAAGATCATGGTTGGGGAGGGGAAATACACTAGCAGCAGACAGCATTAAAGATTTCATGTAGAAGATCTAAGTTTTGAAAGGAACAGAGAATTCTAACAGGCAGAGGTGAAAAGGCAGTGATTGTAAGAGAGGGGACAGCTTGGACAGGGGCATATTGTATCATACATGAGAAAACAGCAAGGTCGGTAAGTAGGGGAATATAAAAGGCAGTTTGGGTCCAGGTTGTGAAAGGTCTCGAGGACCACATGAAGGAGTTTGTATTTGATTTTAGATGTAATGAGGAACCCTTCAATTTACAGAGCAGAGGAGTGATACAGTCAGACCTATGCTTTAGGAACATCACTTCGGCAGCAACTAGAGGATGGAATGGTAGGGAAAGACTTGAAGCAGGGAAACCAATTGGGAGGCCACTACAATAGTAGAGACAAGAAACAATGAGGCCCTGAACTAGAAGGTGGCCTTATGGGTTGAGAGAACACTTTGGATCCAAGAGATGTTAAATGTAGAATTGACAAGTCTGGGCAACTGACTGGATATTTTGGATAAATGGGACTGAGAAGTAAAGGATGACTCTGACAATGACTCAAACCTGGGTGACTAGAAGGACAGTGATCTTCTGGACAGATACTGGAGAGTATGAAAGGAATAGGTTTAGAGGGAAAGATGAGAACAAAGATTAAGCACACCCATATCAAGTGTAAAAGAAATATTAAATGTACTTTAAAATTATTAAATGCTATATGCCCTAACCTTTCTATTTTGGTTGGTTGAGATTTAATGGGAAAGCTGAGTTTTATGAGAATATATACTTATAACTTACATAGCAATAAGATGGATTAGGATAAGAAAGTGATGAGTTCCATGAAAAATTTTAGGTCATTTTTATTTGCTTTAACATAACTGAATTATTCACTTGAGCACCAATGAACTGTGAGAAAGGAAGCCCTTTTTATATTAAAGATACTTTAAATATCCATTTTAAAAAAGGGCAAAACCTAATCATTAGACAAAAGAATACCTTTACTTTTTTTGGAGAGTCTGTAAATAGTTCACCATCTTCATCAGAAATAATTTCTTCAAAATAATTAACGTCACCTTCATCATCTTCCTTTTTTTCTTTCTCCTCTTTTTCCATATCTTCCAAAAAGGACTCCATTTCAGACAATTTGAAAAATTTATCATCTACTATGGATTTCTCTTTTGATTTAATAAATACTTTTGGCTTCTTGTTTTGACGTTCCAGTTTATCAATATCAAAGTCAAGGTCAGAATCCTCATCACTAAAATCTGAACTTTTCTCTACCTCAACTTTATATAACTTTTTATTTCTCTTAATTTCTTCTTTAAGACCATCATTACCTAGATCTGACTTTTGCTCTAGCTCTAAATTCTGTTCTATTTCCTCCTCATCAATATCCATCTCTGAGTCAACCTCTTCACTCTCGGGGAGAAGAGAGAGTTCCTTGTCTTTAACGTTTCCATTAACAGCTTTCTTAAAGTACTGTAAAACTGGTTCATTCTGCAATTCTAGTTGCTGCCAAATCTGCTCATCATCAAAGTTTTCTATCACCAATTCTTTTAGAGGGCTCCCAAGAATGACATCAGTCTTCAATGCTTTATGTAAATCATAAAGTGCTTTTGTTAAAGATGTAAAATTTATAGCCAATCCATCTTGAACACTATCAAGAGAGGAAAAGGTTAATGAATTTAAAATAATACCTTCCACATTTTTATAGTCACAATTTTTTTTAGCTTTTATTTAGTATTTTATTTTTCTCGTTTTAAAACTTTTGAGTTCCAAATTCTCTCCTTTCCTCCCTCCCCAGCCCCCCTCATTGAGAAGGGAAGCAATTGGATATAAGTTACACGTGTAGTCATGCAAAACAAATCCCTAATAGTCATGCTGTGAAAGAAAACATAGACAAAAAAACCTCAAGAAAAATAAAGTTCAAAAAAAAAAAAGTATGCTTCAATCTGTATTCAGATATCATCAGTTCTTTCTCTGGGGGATGGAATCCTAATAAAGCTGCTCCCAGCCCCAATATTCTAACTTCCTTATGGACCCCACTGAACAGCAGGTATGTCCTGATTTAACTACACAATCTGACTTTAACCACACCACAGGCCCCCAGACTCAATATAGCCACTGACTCTAGCTAGCCACTGCGCCCAGATCCAATTCATATATTTGAATATACTCAATCACAATCACATCAACCAGTTAGCCCAAGACAGGACCACAATACCTACCTATCCATCTTGACCAAACAGGACCACGATAGCTAGCCAATCGGAGTGCAGCACGATGACAATGTCTGACCCCCGAACCACAGAAGGGATCCCTCCACATTACCTAATCCCTTAACAAATCCTTCCTGCCTTTTTAATATTCAAAATTTCTATTACGTAATTACATCTTTACCCTACAAAAAATCCATCTTGCTTTCACTAAAGTTGCTGGTTCCTCTTGGAACCTTGCCTACTTCATGAGAGATGCCAATCCTCAATGAATGCCTGTACTTATATTAGAGGTGGGAATTCTTTGAGATAGTGCCACCACAACACAACATGAAACCAAAACAGTTTTTGGTGTCCCTGGGTGGGCAGAGTACCAGATCCCATCCCACGAGACTAAACCAACCACAATATGGGGATGGATAACATTTTTCATCATAAGTCTTTCAGAGTTGACTTTGATCATTGTATTGCTGAGAATAGCTAAGTCATTCATAGCTGATCATCTTAATATATTGCTGTTACTTTGTATATAGTACAATCAGCCCATGAAAGTCTTTCCAGGTTTTTCTGAGAGCATCCTGCTCATCATTTCTTATAGTACAACAGTTTTCCATCATAATCACATACCACTTGTTCAGCCATTCCTCACTGATGGGTTTCCCCTCAACTTTTAATTCTTTACTCCCAGAAAAGAGTTGTATACCCTCAATTTTTAAAAATGGATTAAACATAATCACATGCCCACATCATTTTACTGAGTAGTAAAATTAAGAGAAATTTTTCTACTCAGTAACTTATTGTAAAAGTTTGTTGAGGATGTTAAAAAAATCTACAATAAAACTGAGTTTGGAAATAAGTAAAAGATTCAATTATTCATGCCACCCTTGCCCCTATTACCATTATTCTAGCTAATTGATTTGTTGAGGATCTATACTACTCCAATCCATCTTCTACTCAGCTATCAAAGCGATCTTTCTAAAGAGCAGACCTGACCACATCACTCCCTTAGTCAATAAACTCCAATGGGTTTCTATTACCTTCAGGATCAAATATAAAATCCTCTTGTTTTTAAAACCCTTCATAACCTAGCTCCTTCTTACCTTTCTAGTCTTCTTACACCTTACTCCCTTCCACATACTCTATGATCCAGTGACTCTGGCCTCCTTGTTCTTCACACAAAACACTCCATACTCCTTGCATTTTCCCTGGCTGTCTTCCATGCCAGGAAACTTCTCTCTACCAATCTCTATTTTCCATACAGTTGTTTGCATGTTGTCTCTCCCTAATCCCCCACCCCCGTTAGATTGAGTTCCTTGAGGGCAGGGATTATGTATGCCTTTCTTCGTATCTCCATTGCTTAGCATAGTGCCTGACACATAATACATGCTTGATAATCATGAGCTGTTGTCATTGTCATGCACAGAAGTAGTGTGTTTGTAAGACATGTACAACATATAAAATGTTAAAATAATGGTGGCCTTATCATTAATGTACATATTCTGTATACTGTAGAGGTTACAACCCATCTAAGCCTTTTTGTCCTTTGCAATTCTTAAATGTGTCATCCATTAAATCTTCCAAAGGTCTAGGATGCTTGCCTTAACAAAGTATAATTGCTAATACTTAGGCCTCTTACCTTACTTACAGATATAATGGAACTTAGACTCTCAGGATTGGAAGAGACATCCAGGCATCTAGTCCAACCTACACCTGAACAGAAATCCCCACTACAATATGACAAATGGTCACCTAGACTCCACTTGAACTTCTCTGGTGGTAAAGAGCTCACTACCTTCTGAGAAAGTTCATTCTACTTTGGCCAGCTCTGGTATTTAAGTTTTCTCTCTTCACCTTTTACCTACTGTTTCTAGTCTGGTTCTCTGGTGTCAAGCAAAATAAATCTAGTCCTTGTTATACAACAGCTTAAGACAGCTGACATTTACTCAATGAATCTTCTCTAGACTAGATAGCTCTAATTCCTTCAATTAACCTTTGTATGTCATTATCAAGTCTCCTCTTCTGAACACACTCCAAGATAGTGGGGGTTCTCTAAATTCTTAAACTCAGGTACTGCTTCCTCAATAGAATTACAGAATCTAAAGGCAGAAATGGAAGTAAGGGAGCACACCAAACACACTGTGCCTTGGACCAAGAAATCCTTTCATTACATTATGGAAAGGCTCTGCATGAAAACTTCCAGTAACAAGGAACCCATTACCCTTTCAGGAAGACTATTCCACTTTTAGACAGTTCTATTAATTAGGCTGTATTTCCTTATATCACGTTCAAATCTGCCTTTCTGCCACTAGAACCCATTACTCCAAGTTCTGCCTTTTGAAACCAAAGGGAACCAATCTATTTTCTTGTCTACATGAAAGATCTTCAAATACTTGAAGGGCAAACCCCAACCGTTTACAAAGATCTCAAACTGGCGATGAGACCCTTGAAAACTGCTATAAGCAAATTTAGCAGGACTGATTGATCCAACTGGTCTGTCTGGTGTGTTCAAAACGCTTTGTAATCTGCCCCCTCTACTTTTCCAGTCTTCTTACATCTTCCCCCTTCCCCCAGGTATTCTTTGATCCAGTGACTCTCTCTGTCCCTGACCACGGTCATTCTCACTGGCTGGTCCCCAAGCCTGGAATTCTCTCCTGCCCCCATCTCAATCTGCTTCATCTACCTTCAAGTCCTAGCTAAGTCTCACCTTCTACAGGGAGTCTTTCCCGTTCACTCCACGCCTTCCCTCGGTTGATTATCTACCACCTGTATATTGCTTGTTTGTACACAGTTGTTGGCACTAGATTGTGAGATCCTTGAGAGCAGGGGCTGTCTTTTGCCTTTCTTTGCATCTCCAGTGCTTGGCAAATGTTTATTTGCTGAAATGCCCAAATACTACTGTCACGAGGGGTCTGGTGGTGACCCTTGGCGTGAGAGCAAAATCACTGGTCTAACTGCCCAGACTAGACTGTCGCAGCGCTTGGCCTCCAAGCAGACTGCTATGCTGGGGTAACAACGATAAATCATCTTTTCTCCCGCCCCACACCACGGCCAGATGAGCCCGGGGGAAAGGGGCGAAACCGAGAGCTGAGGCCTCCTGGCCTCCTCCACGCCGACTTCCCCCGGAGCTCTCGCACATCAGGATGCTTACGTGAGGAACTGCTCCGGGTGAGCCGTGGAAGTGCCTAGCTCCTTCAGACAGTGCTCCAGTGTCTGCTGGCGCCTACCCCGTAAACTTTTCTTCTCCGACATCTTGGCCAGTCCAGGTCTCACATGGAGCGGAACAGGAAACTCCGGAAACCGCTCAACTAAGAAGCCTATCCGTCCCGAGAGAACTTCTGACTATGGGACGAGGGTTCCACAACACACAAGTTCCTCCCTCCTTCTCTGGCCTCAGTTCAAGACCTATTGCCGCGGCGCCTGCGCTACAGAAAGAAGAGCCCGAGGGAAGTCACTGCGAAGCCGTTCGTAACAAGGGCCACTACTGCTTATCAGGCTGGGTGGAGAGTCTTTAGTATTAGAAAATCCCATTGCAAGCGCGGAATGGTCGTTAGATCGATTTTGAACTTTGTTCTCTGCAAGACTGTCAATAAAGTTGAAGTTGAAAGCCGTCGGAGTAGCTCGACCTATCATAGACAGCCGAGCCTGCCTCCTCGTAGACGCTCGACCAATCGCAGGAGTCGCACGCGCTCCTAAGGCACGCCCCTCACCTCTCTCCGGCCCCTCCTTCTCCTAAGGCACGCCCCTCCGTCGCAATCACGTGGCCGCGCGCGAGCCACCGCCTCCTTCACTCTCCCATCAAACCCACCCCCTCGGAAGATGGAGCATGTGCAGAAGGTGGTCCGGAGTCTGTCAGTGGCGGCCCGGGCAGTAGGTGAATACCTGTGGGCTGGTGTGAGATTCCTCAAGGCGGGCGCGGGGTGGGCGGTCGGGTCCGAAGCTGAGGAGACCTGCCTCCGCTTCTTGTCAGGGAGCAGAGTGGACTTAGAGGTCTTAAGCAAACTGGACGAAGGTGAAGGAAAAGGTTTAGAGTTGGAAGAGACTTTAGAGATCATCTAGTCTTCCCCATTTTACAGATGAGAAAACTGAGGCTCAAAAAGACCAAGGTCACACAGGTAGTAAGTGCTGAGTCAAGATTTGAACCCAGGACCTCCGACTCCGCTGTATTAGGCAGAACCTGCGAGCAAAGTGCCCCCTAACCCAATCAAGGGTAGCTGGGTCCCTCTTCCAACCCACTGGAGAAAACCTAAACATTTTGACATCCTTTATCAGTGTTCCGCAATTGTGGATTGAACTGGGATTTTTTTTAAGGGGTGGGGGGTGGTTAGGGAGAGGTGAAACCATTTGGGGACGAAACCGTCCTTCATATTCAAAACCCCTGAATAGAACAAGGTAGTCCTTCCTGCTGAGGAGGCCAACAGGGTAAATGCTGTTTGTGGCAACCTACCATCCCCAGAGGTCAGTGGAGATTAAGTAAGTTGGGTAAAGGTCATTTAAGAAGGCATTCAAAGTGTGTTCTTTCAATCTAAATTATACCCCATAAAGTAGTAAAAGAATCAGATCCAAAGCTTATAAAACATCTATGATGGTTTATGATTATATCCCATAATGATGGTGAACACGTTGCATTTACAGAAGCTAATGAGAGTAACTTAACATTCATGTAGCGCTTACTATGTACCAGGCACTATGCTAAGTGCTTTACAATTATTATCTCATTTGATCCTCACAACTCTAAGAGTTAAGGAGCTTTTATCATCCCCATTTTACAGATGAGGAAACTGAGGCAAATGGTTAAATGACTTGCCCAGGGTCACACAGCTAATAGGTGTCTGAGGCCAGATTTGAACTCAGGGAGATGAGTCCTTATGACCTCAGGCCTAGCACTTCATTCACTTCACCACCTAGCTGCCCCTCTGTGCTAAGCTCTTGGGGAAAAAGGCAAAGAACAGTCCCTGCTCTTAAGGAGCTCACAGTCTAATAACTGCTTCCTAACTTAAATTCTGCCTCCATTTCTTCCCCTTCCAAGTGGTTCTAACCAGTTGCTGCCCAATTAATCTTCCTAAAGCAGTTCTCCTTAAAAGGCACCAAATTACCTAATGAGTAAAGGCCATGCTTAACCTGCCATTCAAGGTGTGCTTGTGTGTGTGTGTGTAATTTGTTAAATAATCTAGAATTGTGGTAGTAGCTGGGATACTAACAAAAACAAACCAATCATAGGCCTCAAGTAGCTTACACTGGAAAGAAAGCAACATGTAGGTATATGTTAAACACAAATAAAGCAGATATAAGGCAACCTTGAATGGGAAGGCATTAGCAGCTAGATTTATATATTAGGTTTATATTGGATCCTAGAGGTAATAGGAAGACACTGAATCTGTTGAGTAGAGAACTAAGATAGTCAAATCTGCACTTTGGTACTGTATATAAGATGGATTGGGGTGGGGAGAGACCAATTAGGGTATTGTAAGAATTCAGGGAAGAGGAACGAATATCTGAACTAGGTCCTAAGTAGAGAGAAGGGGTCATATTCAAGAGATGTAAGGATAGGATTCCAAAATTTAGCAAATGATTGGATATGTTGGGCAAGGAAGAGTTAGGAGTCAAAGATGATACCCTAGTTACAAACCTGAGTCATTGGAAGGATGATTATACCCTCAACAGTAATAGAGAAATTTGGGAAAGGGGGAGGCATTTGGGGGAAAGATAATGAACATAATTTATTTTGAGATGCCCATGAGATATCCAATTCAAAATGGGCGGTAGGCAGTTAGTGATATGGGACTGAAGCTCAAGATTGATTTGAGAGTCACCTGCACAGAGATGATACTTGAACCCATGGGAGCTGAAGATATCTCCAAGTGAGAGACTACAGAGAGAAATTAGAAGGCCCCATGACCTATCCTTGGGGTACACCCACAATTAGGGGATGTGACAAGGATGATGATCCAGCAAGAGAAAGTGAGGAGTGATCAGACAGGAGGAGAACCAAGAGAGAAGAGTATCACAAAATCCAGATAGGAGAGAGTATCAAATGCTATAGAAAGAACAAGAAGACTGAAGATTGAGAAAGGGTCATTCAGTTTAGCTGGTAAAGGATCATTGGTAGCTTTCGAGGAGAGCAGTTTAAGGTAGATAATAATGTCAGAAGCCATTTTGCAGAGGAATTGAAAAGCATAAAAGGAATGAAAGTGGAGGCAGGAAGTGTAAACAGGCTTTTCCATTCTCTTCACTTGCCCCAATCAAACTTTAGCCAAGCTGTACTTAACACTGTCTGAGCTTTTCCCTATTTCTCCATGCTTTTGCTCACATTTGCTTCCTGAAATGCCCTCCACTGCCAGCTCCATACATGTTATTCCTACTCATCTTTTAATATCTAGCTCAGATACCATACTCTGTGAAAATGTCTTTGCAGTTAAGCGGCTCTTCCTCTGAATTCCCATATCACTTTGGACCTCTTTATTGAACTGTATTTGGGTACATATAAGCTCTTTGTAGGAACTGTATTTAGATGGTCTTTGTATACCTCACTGGCATGAAGGACAATGCTTTGGACATGACATTTAATAAATATTTGTGGAATAAATGATTGTGCATTTCTTCTTCTTTTCCCTTTTCTTTTTCTTTTTTATTCCTCCAAACAGAGGATTAACTGTTGTTTTGACAGGAAAATACAGAACTGAAGTGGAGACCTGAGCCAACCTAGGTGAGGCTGAGGTTGGCAGTCTTCTAAATTAGTCTTAAATCTTAACTCAGGCATTGGCATCCACAGGCACCATATGAGTTGATTTTCAATAGTGTAGGACCTACTGCCACAGCATTAAGTAAAACTGCAAAGTATATCTTGACTTCCTTCTTTGAACCCTTTTCCCATCTCCTGCATCTTCTTTTTTCCAAATGGTCAGTGTCCTATTGCCACCATCTGTGTAGTATCCCTCATCCCTTTTAGGTTTGCCCCCCTGCTCCAGAATTGTCCTGTTTTTTTTCTTGTTCATTCCCCTATTCTAATAAAAAATAATCCAAGCCTTGACTTCTACTAATCACAGCTAGTTGTTGGTCTAATTTATGGTTCCAAGCATAGGACTTTTATACTGTGGTATGAATGACTTAATCACTAGGTCCACTTCACCTTGCTGTCTGTCGTACACAAAACTGTCATAGAAATTAGGATGTGATTAAGTGTATGGCAAAAGTCAAATATCAATGCACAAGAATTTGGAAAAGGAAGGAATCATTTAGAATTAATTCAATAATGCATGTGTTATAATGATGTGAAATCCAGTCTTGCATGAGCTAGATTTTTAGTACCACTTGAGACTAACAATAAATGACAAGGCGAGGCAACTGGGGAGATGCATGGAACTACCTTAAACAGTATTATGAACAATTTTGGAGACTGCTAAGTTAAAAAAAAGAACTTTTACCAGCCCATTGTCCACATGAGCCAATTTTGTAGCCACTACAGATAATACTGCACATTATCCAATTCTCTCACTGCATGCTAGCTTACCATTTTACTATTCCTTTGATATAAATGCTAGCAGATAAAGTTAGAGCTCATTCAGTCTTTCACAGAATAATGTGGTAGAAAATATCAGCCTGATTGGATATGTCTACATATTTGTAAGACTGACTTTAAAACTCCAATACACCAGGGCTTCATCAGACCATTGTCCTTGGGAACCGGCTATGTTATGGGTTCTCTGCGTGAAGACCATTATAATCCCCTTTGGGGTAATTCAGTAATTAAAGAACATAGTATGGAATGTGAGAAAGATTCCATTCTGTTTTAGCGCTTTTTAGCCTCAGAGTTCCATTGTACAGTGTTAATAACAGAAAAGACTTTAACTCTGGGGCCCTTAAATTCCGTTTTGTGACCCCAAATTTTGTCGGAATGTAATCTTTTGCTTTCTTCAGTAAATAAGTAACATTGTATACTATCAAAGTGTTTTTCTTTAAGAGTCAGCAACAGATCAGTGTTGCTTAGTCTTTTCTTCTGCTAAATGTTATGCTCTAACATCAATTTTTTTTATAATCGACATTATACTTGAACCTTATGCTACCATAATTCTGATTTTAGATTGTTTTGTTTATGTGATGATGAGCATTAAAAAAGGTTTTTTTAAAGCTTGATACTTAAAGAACAACAAATCTCAGTAACAAATAGATGAGGAAGTGTTTCTGAAATGTGTAAAGGGTATTGAATTTGAAGTGAGTGAACTGGATTTTGAATACCAGCTCTGCTACTTACAACTCATGTGATCTTTGAAATAGCACAATCTTTCTGTACATCAATTTTTTTTTCACTTGAGGCATTTCATCCATGGCTAGCTGATAGATAAGGTCTCTTCCTGTTCTAAACCTGCCCTAAAAGCCTGTTTTGATCATTAAGCACGTATAATTATCTCAAAGATAGGTGTTCAATTGTCCCACAACTAGTTGCACATTTCTCTCCTTTATCCTATAATAGGAGGGGTGGGAGCGGAATAAAAATAATAACTGCTACTTTAGAGGGAATTCTGATAAGTAGTTTTAGTGTTTCCTATGATCTTCAGTTTAAATTTTATTTTTCTTCTCAATTCACTATTTTTCCAATTTAATGTCATATGGATGGAACTTTGTATTGCTGAAGGTTATTCATTTTAATGAGCTTAACCGTAGGATTTGAGAACCTTCATTCTTCTTGTTCTATACCTTATTACCTCTTGGTGAAATGTGGTATACTTTAGGGATTGGTGATTTTGTTGGTGTGACTATTCCCAGCACCTACAAAGATTGAAGCACATCCACAATTTAGGAGATAGTGTTACAAGAGTTAGCCTGGCTGTCAGATTAATCACACTGCAGCTAACCTGGTAATTAGTGTTTCTGAATTTCACTGGACTCCTCCTAGGACAACAGATATACTGTCACTGAGCCATATTGAATCAGGCAGAGTTTGGAGTTTGCTATACTTGCCTTCAGCAAACTATGCTGGCATGGCAGTGTGGCATAATGGATGGAGGACTAGCCTCAGTCAGAAGTACCTGAGTTCAAGTCCCTTCTTGGATACTATGGCAGGTGAAATATGAAATGACTAAGCAAACAAATGTTCAAACTTCTGAGCATATTGATTTATTAAGCAATGCATGCCAATTGCATAACACATTGGAACCAGGGTTCCTCAGCTTGGCAATGGACCTTGAATACAAGGGGAGACAGATTTTTATTCATTAAAAACAATTAATCAACTAAGACCAATTAATTAAAAGAAAATTATTAACCAGGATACAAAATTATGTACTTTGATTTCTAATTGGAGGAAAGATTAGGGACTTTCCAAAGTGGGAGGGGGGAGAGTGAACAGGTGAGATTCCCTAAAATCAGAAAAAGAGGTGTCCCACTCCCCCCATGTGTCTGTATTCAATCAAAGGAACATAGAAACAATAACTGATTGACGAGGATGGAACCGATTTTCAGATAAGACATATGGATTGTTTGAGATGCAGAATTTTGAGAAAACTCTTTGGATCTGACTGGGTTGCTAGTCAGCATAACCTAGGTCATTAGTTAAGGGTCTCTAAGCAACAGGTGGTCTAGCTTCCTAGTCACACAGAGCTAGGTTTAAAACAATGCAATAAGGTTTTCTCACAATTTTGAATAAAGTTTTCTCACAAGACAAAAATTGGACTAGACCCATAATTAAATAGAAAAGGAACTGAGCTAGCTCCAGAATTGAGTCACAAGATGGAATCAGAGTGGTTCACTCAATTCCCACTACTACTTGATGTTTTAATTCCCTAAATTATGTTGTTGTTAGATCATTTCAGTCATATCTGATTCTTCATGACCCCATTTGGAGTTTTCTTGGCAAAGGAATGGTTTACCATTTCCTTCTCCAACTTGTTTTACAGATGAAGAACTGAGGCAAGCAGGGTTAAGTGACTTATCCAGGGTCACACAGCTAATAAGTGTCTGAGGCTGCATTTGAACTCAAAGATAAATCTTCCTGATTCCAAGCCCAGTGCTATATCCGCGCATCACCTAGCTGCCCCAGTTTCCTCAATACATACAGGCTTTGTGACCCTGGGCAAATCCCTTAACCTCTCACGACTCCAGGTGACTCTAAAACTATAACTTGTAGAGCAAATACTGGTCTTCATTAGTAGAAGTTTCCTTTCTGGGAGTTCACTATACCATTGAAATCACAGATCTATTTCAACCCAAGGTTAACTCCACACTGTAATGAGGCATTAGAGTAGGATCAGTGGATGACCAAAATACTACTTACTTAAATATGTGATTATCTTTTCAATTCTATCAATCAGTTTTAAAATGATTATGAACTATGTCTTCTTTTTACTGGTCTTAAGTGAAGCTTAAAATGAAGTTTTCTGTTATGACAGTAGTTATTTATAATGAACAGAGCTAAGCATTCATGCTAGGAATTCTTCATTTACCTTCTCTGAATTTGTTTCATAATTTCCTAAAAGTGTTAGGTATACACAGGAGAAGATAGAAGCATTTCCTTTTATTTTTTTTATATTTCTAAATAGTCTATAGTACCCCTTAAAATAATAATAGTACAGTAGAATATGCATATTTAGATTTTTATTAAAATTATAAAAGTTGTACATTGATTTTCAAAAGAATTATACCATTGTTGTTCAATTTTACAGGGGCTTTCATCAGGCTGCAAACTCTCACTCCAACAGTAAGAACTTTTTCAGGATCACACTCTCTGTCTCAGAATGTTCCAGAAACCTTGTGGAATCTAGGTCGATTAAATCATGTAGCGATTGCAGTACCTGACTTGCAGATGGCCAAATCTTTCTATAAGAATATGCTAGGGGCCCAGGTAAGTGAGGTGGTCCCTGTTCCTGAACATGGTGTCTCTGTTGTTTTTGTGGAACTTGGAAATACTAAGCTTGAATTACTACATCCCTTGGGAGACCAAAGTCCGATTGAAGGCTTTCTGCAGAAAAACAAGGCTGGAGGAATGCATCATATCTGCATCGAGGTATTGTGATTACTTACCTAATATTTTAAATATTTTTTTCCCCACAATTATCTTTGACTTTCTAAGGCTATTGATGTCATTAAAACAACTTTTATTAGAGATCTCCATGGATTATATTGGTAATATTCCCAAAACATTATATACGCAGTCTGCCCTCAAGACATTAAGAAAATACTAAAATACTTTCACCATTTTCTAATGAAATACAACTAACTGTTCTTTAAATCTACAGAAGTCTATGTCTTGGGAGTCATTTTTTCTCTTAAGGGTTTGTGTGATTTTTAACATTTGATTTGTATCTAATAACAATGCCCAGAAAAAACTTGAGTCTTTCAAGAAGAATGTACTTGCTCCATAATGTCTTATTTGTATTCAGATAAGACTTGACTTTTGAGGTACAGAAAGTCACATTTTAGTTAGACTTCATTTTTCAGAACCTTAAGAATAAAATAAAATAAAATATTGAATCTGAATATAGGTCAATTATAATCCAAAAGAATCTTGGGTTTATTCATAGATGTCTCCTGTAATTCAGGTCTTTCTTAGAATGGATCATAGCATTATATTCAAAACCACGGAAGCCTACAAAGATGAGGATTGGTCACTAAATAGAGCTCTGTTAAGACTAACACAGAAAGCAAAGCCAGACCTCTTAGAGTGACTCATTTACTGTCAGCTATCGCTTCTAGAAACTTTAATCTTATTTGTCTCTAGCATCTCCACTACACTTGGTCTTACCATCTACTCTGACCTCCAGACCTCTTCGCATTACCATCTGACCTGCCAGTAGACCACCAGGTACTTACATCCACCCTGCAGCAATAGTGCCGCTAGGTGGCGCCATAGTGCACAGAGTGCTAGGCCTGGAGTCAGGAAGACTCATCTTCCTGAATTCAAATTTGGCCTCAGAAACTTGATAGTTGTGTGACCCAGGAGCAAGTCATTTAACCTTGTTTGCCTCAGTTTCCTCATCTGTAAAATGATCTGGAAAAGGAAATGGCAAAACACTCTAGTATCTTTGCTAAGAAAACCCTAAATGGGGTCACAAAAAATCTAACATGACTAAAATGAACAACAAAGTAGCAATTTATGTTGATGCCCTCAATTAGAATGTGAGTTCCTTAAGAACGGACTTGTCTTGGTTTCCCATTTGTATCTCCACTGCTTAGCACAGTACTAAACACAGAATGAGCCCTTAATGTTTTTTTCATTCATTGTCAGTCATTCATTGATTCGCCTTGAACCCTATAAGCTAGGTAACCAGAGAATCAAATTTACTTGCAATGACCTGGGAAGACAAAATGCCAAGTGTGTGTGAAGTACATTTAAAATAAGACTAATTTGCTTCAGGGGAAAGAGTAAAGTATTCATGTAGTATATGGACTTTGTAAAATATATTTTGGGTCTCAAGGGAACTTTTTTGTTTGCTTTCTGGATTTGAGCTGCCTTTCAGATACCTAAACTTAGTGAATAACTAACCTCTAGGTAAGAAAGGAGAGATGTGACTGGAACAATTTCAAATACACATTATTTAGAACAGTATTTCACCATATAAGTTACAAGAAAACTAGTTTTAAAGTGAGTCAGAATGCAACCTAGCTTATGTAATTAAGTATTTTGAAGAGTTTTATATAGACAATTGAGTGCATCAATCAACAAACATTTACTAAGTGCTACTCTGTATCAGAAACTGTGCAAGGTACTAGGTATACAAAAACAAAAATGAAATAATTTCTTCTTTAGAGGAGCTTGTAGTTTAGCTGTGGGAGACAACACATACACAGGAGAGAGGCACAAAATAGATACAGCATCATTTGGGAAGGGTGGAATTAGCATGTAAGGGAATTAGGACAGATTTCATGTAGAAGGTAGAAGTTGAGCTGAGCCTTGAAGGAATATAACTAGGAATCCTAAAAAGACAAAGTGAGGAGGGAACAAGTCCAGAAATGTGAGACAATGTAAAAAGAACAAAGATGAGAGATGGAGTGCTGTGTGTGAGGTACAGTAAGAAGATCAGTTTAACTGGACCACAGTAGGTGTGAAGGAGAGTAATATGTGGTAAATCTGGAAGAGTAGGTCAGGCCAAGTTGTGAAGAACTTTAAATGCCAAACAGAGGAGTTTATATTTGCTCCTAGAGGTAATAGAAAACCTTCCAAATTTATGAAGTAGGAGAGTAGCATGGTCAGATCTGTACTTTAGAAAAATATCTTTGGCAGCTTTGTGGAGAGTAGTTTGGAGTAAGGAAAGATTTGAGGCAGGGAGCACAATTGGGAAGCTATTACAATAAGCCAGGTGAGAGGTCATAAAGACCTATACTAGTGTGGCAGCCATGTGAATAAAGAGGTTGGAACAGATTCAAGAGATATTGTGGAGACAGAAAAGACAAGATTTAATAGTAGCTAATATTTAAATAACACTTTAAGGGTTGCAAAGAACTTTGCAAATATCATATCACTTTATCCACGTAATACCCCCGTGAGGTATGTGCCATCATTTTTCTCTTTTTTACAGATGACAAACCTGCCACAAATAGATGTTTAGTGACTTGCTCAGCATCATTCAGCCATTAAGTGACTAAGGCTAAATTTGAACTCAGGTCTTCCTGACTCCATGCCCAGTGCTCTATCCATTGCACCATTGAGCAGCTAATTGGATAAATGGAGTGAGGGAGAACAAGGAGTTGAGACTGATGCCAAAGTTGCATATTTGGGTGACTGCAAGGATGATGTTACCCTCTCCAGAAATAGGAAGGTTTGGAAAAGGAGTGGGTTTTGGGGGAAGACAGTGAGTTTTGTTTTGGACATGTTGAGTTTAATGTGTCTGTGGGATATTCATGTCAAACTTTCCAATAAGTATTTCATGATATGGAGTTCAGGAGATAGACTAAAATTGATATGAGAGTCTTAATCATAAGGATCATAAACCCATGTGAACTAATGGGGTCACCAAGAGAGATAATGTAGAGAGAAAAGGAAAGGAATTAGGATAGCCACTGCAGGGGTGCTTGAGATGAATGATAAACCAGCAAAGGCAACTGAGGAAGAGCCAGATAGGATGAGAACTAAGAGAGTACAGTCATGAAAACCCAGAGAGAAGAAAGCAACTGAGAAGAAAGGATGGTCAACAGTTACACGAAGAGGTCAATGAGAACTGAGAAAGGGCCACAGAATTTGGTTGTTAAGAGATCATTGGTAACTTTGGAGAGATCAATTTCGGTTTCCACATTTCAAAGAGCTATGAAGAGAATGACAGGAAGTGGAAGTAATAGGCATAAACCTCTTATTCTCAGAGGCTGAGAAGGGGATGAGAGATAGAGGACAACAGCCCGAGGGGGAAGGGTCTAGAGATGTCTTTGTTTTTGTTTTTGTTTCTTTAAGAATAGGTAAGATGGGTATATTTGTAAATACCACGAAGGAATTAGGAGATTGGGAGAGGCAGAAGATTAGGGAGAGTGGAGACATCATTATGGGAGAAATTGGCTAGAGAAGATGGGGATCAAGAGGTCGATCCTGGCAAAGATAACAGCCCTTTCTTCATCAGAGATGACAGCGCGGAAGGGAAGATAGGAGGAGGATGTCATAGAGCTGTGAGATGTAGAGAAGGGGAGAAAACAGAGTTTATGGCAGATGGCCTCCATTTTCTCAGTAAATTGTAAGGTAAGGTTCTGACCTGTGAGGGTCATTAGAGAGTTATTGTAGAAGGCCTGAGGAGGGAAGAGAAACAATTCAGATGGCAGTATCAATTTTAGCAAAAGTCCAAAGGCACCTTTCTCTTTGTAAAGCCAATTCCATTAAAATATTCTTTATGTAAGGGGCAAAGTGATCCTTTAAGTTCATTATATTCCCTATCTTTTTCTGTCATAAGTAGAATATTTTAATCATGCTTCAGATTTATTAATCACCTAGTATTAAAACTTCAGGAACCATTCTCTATGTTTCTTAGTGCAACAATCTTGAAAGCAATTAGTGGATTAGAATTAGTAAGTGGCACTCTGAAATACTATTGAGGGCTTAGACAGAATCCCCCAATTTTTAGTTGCTATGGTAACTTGTCATTGGGTGCAAATGCAATTAAAACTTATTTTATTAATTTAGATATTCACTCTACATAGGTATGAATTGGAAACGTCTCATGTAAACCTAAAAGCTACAAAAGATGACACGACTTCCATAGAGTGCTACACCTAACTTAGAAAAAGGACTGCAGATCAAAATTAAGGTCAATAGATGAGTGAAGAAACTTTTAAATTATATTAGCAACACATCCCAGGAGTTCAAAACTCATCACAATCATTAATTAAGTCTTTTAATGCCCCTGTGAGTAAGGTAGAGGAATTCGTATGTTATGGAGATGTTAAGAAGTTAATTGAATGACTAAAGTATCTAGAAATAAGCTCCAGCTATTTCCATTTAGTTCATTCTGAATTCAGAACTTCAAGTTTCTTATATGTATAGTATAACTCAATGGATTTATATCCTCTGGAGGGTCACTAAAACATGATTCGCTAAAGCATGTCTGTCTGAGACCCTGGCAAAGGAGTAGCAAAGCGGATGTCTATAGAGTTTTAATGGTCAAGAACAGAGATTTCCAAAGTGGGGTATCCTCACTCCATAGCATGTGCAAGACAATTCATTGGGATGAAGAAAGAAAATATTAAAACTTAGAACCAGGCCCTTTAGTCACTATCATGAAGTATTAAACAAAGATCTCAAAAATAATGAAGGATATTCAATTACATTGCTCTCTTGGAGAACAAAAAGATACTTTAACTCTTAAGAAATGAAATTTTATAGGGACATTTCATAATGTCGCAGTGGATAGAGCACTAGCGCTGAAGTCAGGAGGACCTGAGTTCAAATCTGGCCTCAGGCCAAACACTTAACACACTTACTAGCTGTGTGACCCTGGGCAAGTCACTTAACCCCAATTGCCTAAAAAAAAAAACAAACAAAAAAAGAAATGAAATTTTAAATTGTTCATTTCATCTTTATCTCATAAT